TATACCTGCACCATTGTAACAAAACAAATATCCAGTTTGTGAGCGAGCTTTGTGGGGATCAGATCTATATCCCGCGTCGGCATAACCAACTAACCCTTGGTTAGTTGCATTTTTTGAATAAAATAATCCCAAATCTGCAGTACCACGGAGATATCGAAAAATATGTTTAACACCATTCCAGTGTCTCCGTGTAGGCTCAGAACTGTATCGCGCAAGCACATTTACCGCAAAAGCGATATCAGGTCGAGTGCATTGTGCTAGATACATTAATGCTCCGATGGCATTAAGATACGGCACTTCTGGGCCAAGTATCTCTTCATTAAATTCTTTAGGTCGGAACGGATCCTTTTCAGGATCTAAATTGCGCACAACCATAGGGTACTTAATGGATTAGCATTTTCCATATTAAATCTTTTGAGCAGTCGTTTAGTATATGCAGATTGGTGTATAAGTATGCTGTTATTTTTATGCTCAAGCTCACTACCAAGACATAGTTTGGTTTTTCCAAGGTCCTTGACCTCAAACTCTTTCTTTAAATACTCAGCAGCTTTGGCCAACTCTTCAGGAGTGCCAATGAGGTTCATGTCATCTACATAAACCGCAATAATAGCAAATCCGGTTTCTGATCGTTTAATAAAAACGCATGGGCAAATAGGATCATTTTTATAAGCTTCTCTGATAAGGTATTCACTCAATCTATGATACCACATGCGACCTGATTGCTTTAGACCATACAATGATCTTTGTAATTTGATTGAGTGTAGCTCACGAGGAGCGCCAGAGTTTGGCATTTTAAATCCATCGGGAATTTTCATATAAATATCAGAATCTAGTGAACCATATAGATAGGCCGTTACAACGTCCATTAGACGCATGTCCAGTCCCTCTTGGACGACCATATTGATAAGGAAACAAAAAGTGATCGTATCCATCACTGGTGAATACGTCTCATCATAATCAATCCCAGGCCGCTGGGAAAAGCCTTGAGCTACAAGGCGGGCTTTATATCGTACAATTTCATTGTTCTCGTTTCTCTTACGGACAAATACCCATTTATACCCAACGGGCTTTACATTATCCGGAGTTTGAACGATTTGCCCGAATACTTTTCGTTTTTCTAGGGAAGCCAATTCAGATTTTATTGCTTCCTCCCACTTAGGCCAATCATTTCTTTGGCGGCATTCCATTATGGAACGCGGTTCACTATCATAATCATCGTACATAATTTCTTGTGCAACCGACAATGCAAAAATATTATCGATGATTATCTCATTTCTATCCCATATTTCATTGCAATAACTTATGGGATTCTCGGTATTCCCGGGATTTGATATCGCTTTTCCGATATCAGGCTCAACAGATTTATCTCGAGCATTCTCACTAGGAACCACTTGGTTCGAGGGTTCATCGATTTTCCCCTTTCTTTTTCTAGGAATAACGTCCTTTGATCCAATAGGTCTACCCCGTTTTTGTCCTGGGGGATCATCATTCATTTTCGCATGTTCTTCAGGAACAGCGATCCTAGCTGGCACATTCACAGCTGGAATATAAGATTTCGTGACTTTACTGGCATCATTAAATGCATCAGGAAGTCTATTGGCAATATTTTGTAAATGAATGATTCTATGGATCTCATTTTCACATTCAGAGGTACGTGAGTCGAGATGAGATAAGCGTTGCTCACACCATGTGAGATTCTTGATTGGTTTTTGTTTATCATTATCACGGATATTCTGAACATCCTTACCAATCGGTATAAATAATGTCTCATCAAAATGACAATCCGCAAATCTAGCGGTAAATAAATCACCCGTCATTGGTTCTAAAAACCTAATAATCGACGGTGAATCAAACCCAACATATATGCCAAGTCGACGTTGGGGACCCATTTTAGTCCTCTGAGGAGGAGGAATTGGCACTTGCACAGCGCAACCAAATGTGCGTAGGTGCGAAATATCGGGCTCAAAGCCTAATGCCAATTGCATTGGGGAATGCATATGATAAGCAGTGGGGCGCAATTTAATCAGTGCTGATGCATGCAGTACTGCATGGCCCCATGCTGCACTAGTGAGTTTCGATCTCATCAGCAAAGTACAAGCAATTATTTGGACGCGTTTAATCAGAGATTCCGCCAGTCCATTTTGAGTGTGAACGTATGCTATTGGGTGCTCGACATTTATTCCCAGTGCTGCACAATACTCATCAAAAGATTTTGATGTAAATTCTCCGGCATTATCCATTCTTATGTTTTTAATGGGATAATCAGGGAAATGTGCTCGGAGTTTAATAATTTGTGCTAGCAAACGCGCAAATGCAACATTTCGCGTAGATAATAAGCATACGTGGGACCATCTACAAGATGCGTCCACCAAAACCATAAAATATCTAAATGGCCCACTTGCAGGGTGTATTGGTCCACAAATATCACCATGAATACGTTGTAAAAACGATGGGGATTCATAACCGACCTTTTCGATGGAAGGTTTTATAATGAGCTTTCCTTGTGAACATGATTCGCAGAAATATTCATTGGACATTAAGATCTTTGTATCTTTTAATGGATGTCCCTTAGTATGTTGTACAATCCTACGCATCATAGTCGTTCCAGGGTGACCCAGTCGATCATGCCATAATCCGTGTATATTGGGATTAACAAGTTTCCATAGCATAGTGGCATAGGATTCGAAAGCTCTAATTTGGAAACAATACACTCTAGAAGCTGTCGCTTCGAGTTTTTCATGAACAATTCTTTTGTCCATAACATATGATGTGATGCAGAGACACTCCACTGTATTTTCAACCAGTGTCTCTAAATGATATCCATTGCGTCTCACATCTTTAAAGCTCAGTAGATTCTTATTTGATCTACCTGATATCAATGCATTTTCAATATGCAAAGTGGTACCATTAGGCAACACAATTGTTGCGTTCCCGGAGCCATCTATTATTTCCGCAGAACCTGCTATAGTTTTAACTTGTGCCTTGCACAATGTCACACTCGAGAAATATATTTTATTATTGAATATTGAGTGTGTAGTTGCACTATCGAGTAGGCAATTTTCTCTTTTGTCGATGTTCTCCATGTTTGCCTGAATTAAATAACATAAAATTAATATTAAATCGTAGTATAGTTTGTAAATCATATAATAACAAACTCATAATTTTATACATAGTCAAAATATCAGCTCGACCTCGGGAACATAACTTCCAAGGGAGATATGTACATGGATACATCAAAAGACAAACTAGCTCAATCTCGGGTACTACATCATCCGAGAGAGATATATACAAATATACATGTTGAGTACAAAATAACCAAAAGAGATGCTCATTTGGCAATTTACACAAGAGGATCAAGATCTGTAAAGAAATATGATAACTCAAGAGAGGCTCCATCTTGAGCAGGATCTTGATCAAGCATGCTTCCAGATGTGCTGGCTTCAAGAACAGCAAGTGGCATTTCTGCCTCAGTTACATTTGCCTGGACATTTTTTCATTTGTCCCTTTTTGAATCCTGGTACAGATTTACCAGATGTTGGGCGGTTCTACAAACTTTGGCCCAGTGTCCAGTCATTCCACATCTAATACACATATTTTCTGGAATTCTTTCCGCGGGCATCTTGCCTTTATCGCGTTTTGCCTGAAATGGTTGTCTCTGCCAGACCGTATTATTATTTCGACGGGGATATTCATATCCACCTCGATCATTATTTCGGGCATCTTGAGGGGGACCACGTCCACCGCCTCGGCGTGCACCACGCCAGTATCTACGCCCACGGCCTCTAAATCGGCCCATATTTCTATTTTGATTAGCATGTGCTTCAGGCACAGCTTGGGACCCACATGGTCGCAAATCATGATTTTTCAACAGCAATTTGTTTGTTTTTCCTGCTGTGAGGAGTACAGAGATCAACTCCGAATATGTTTTAAACTGGCGCTGCCTATATTGTTGTTGGAGCACCAAGTTCGAGGCATGCATAGTGCAAAAAGTTTTTTCCAATTTATCATATTCAGATATTTTAACTCCGCACAAGGCTAATCGGGACTCAAGTTTAAACAGTGCCGAATTATAGTCGGCAACAGATTTGAAGTCCTGCAGCCTTAGGTGCTGCCAATTGTATTGGGCCTGTGGGAGAATCACGGTTTTTGTGTGATCAAACATTTCTTTCAGTTTTTGCCATATCTCTGATGGCCTTTCAAGTTGTATATATTCGTCTTTCAAATCCTCAGAAAGATGATGGCGGATAAAAATCATAGCATTTGCCTCATCTTTCCTGTTTGCCTCCTTGATATCTACACAATCCAAGGATTTTACAAGATCTGGCCCTTGGAGGTGTAATTTGATATCTAAGCACCAGGATAAGAAGTTACTACCGGTAACATCAAGGATTTGAAATTTTTGTTTTTCGATTCCGGCCATCGTAAAATAAAATAAATAGAAAACAGTACAACAAAAAGAAATTAACCTTTTTACAAACCTATAATTTTATAGAGCAAAAGCTCGTGTTGATAACGTGTTGTAAAATAATGAAATAAAGTACTAAATATAATTTATATATGTTAAGTAAGGTGATTTGTAAAGAAAACTGTATATATTATATTATAAACTATAGTGCTTGTATAGTGAAGTATTTTTACCGCTGAAACTTGATTCTTTTCATTCACTAACTTGGTCCATTTATATACAAATTTACATGAAAGTAAATCTTATCAAATAGTACACCTATACATGCATATAAGATAGTTGCTAAGGGAAATAACAACACGTATTAAGTCTAATTGCCCATAAGCCATCATGTGAATTGTCTTCTCTATCACGTGTATGCAAGCAATATGAGTGGTTGGAGTTCCACCGTGTCACAACAAATAATAATAATAATAATAATAATAATTCTGGTCGGAAAATAAAATATGATGCAATTTGAACAATTAACCATGTTTTGAGGGTGTAAAATGCGATAACTTATTTTTTAGGGTGCAAAAAGAAAATATTGTACACTTCGAGGGTGCAAAGTGAAATTAAGCCAAATTTGCTGCGCTATTTCTTCTGCAGAGTGAGTTTGGCTTTGCGCGCTTGGGTAAGCAGACAAAATGGCTATCAATTCCAAATACATGCAACTTTACGGTACGACGAACATTGGGCAATCTTCTTAATCCTGTCTGAATTTCTAATTGTTTAATATAATTACTGAATTTGATGAATTTGCAAATTGTTTGAAATAAGGTTACGATCTGTTGCTGGGATCGATTGCTGCTTTCTATCTCTTTATGGCACCTTACACCAAGGTTGAAGAAAGCTTCAACGTTCAGGTATTGTTTAATTTGCTTTATATATTCGCTTTTGTATTCGATTTCAAGTTTTTTTTTTTTGTTGCCCACACTGTTTTTACTGGATTTTTTTTTTTTTTTTTTTTTTTTTTTTTTTTTTTTTTTTTTTCTGTTTTTTGAGGATTTTAGGTTTCTTAACACTGTTTTCTTGGATATATTGGCTTTTATTTTGTTTGGGTTTTCAAGATTTTGGGTTTTAAAGATTTTGGGTTTCTCATATATATATATATATATATATATATATATATATATATATATATATATATATATGTGTGTGTGTGTGTGTGTGTGTGTGTGTGTGTGTGTGTGTGTGTGTGTGTGTGTGTGCGTGTGTATCATTTTATCATTCTTTTTTTTTTGCATTTTGATGAATTTTTGACTAAAACCCAATAATATTTAACAAGTGTCTGAATTTTTTTAGGCAATGCACGACATTCTGTACTGGCGGCAGCATGTGGAGAAGGTAAAATTATATTTTCCGAATTACGTTTAGAGTTCTGTGGGGATTTTGTGAAAATAAAAATTGTTGTTTATATAATTTACCTGGTTTATATATTGGCAGTATGATCACTTGGAATTTCCTGGAGTAGTTCCTCGTACATTTATCGGTAATGTTTCTTACACTATTTCCTCCTACGCAAACGCTTTGTTCTTGATTAGACGTAGTTCAAAGGTTTCCATTTCAGTTGCCTGCAAATTCAGAGCCATTTACTTTTAAGTGTTTGCTCCGTAGGTCAGTAGTCAACGTTTGTAGGGAATCATTTGGATTACAATACATGACTCGATAAAGAAAGAATGCCTTAGTGAAAAAGGATAAGAGCTAAATCTCGGATAAGAGATTTACACGAGCCGCAGTTTACCACTCTTTCATGAGACTGTATAGGCAAGCTCTAGATGTATCATGGCCCTTGGGCAACGTTTGTTGATTGAGATGATGCATATACAATCATATCAGTAGCAGTATATAATCCTTCGAGCAAGCATCAATATCGTATTATTTTCAGATTCTTATCAAAATTTATTTGGGTGTAAACGACTCTTTCTTATTACATATATATGCATGCAGTTATAGATTCTTATAGTTAAGCCTTTGCTATGGGATTTCTCTAATTTTGAGCCTTCTTTATCAATTCAACTTGATCGAGGCTAACTTTCGACTTTGGAGCAGTAATATAGGGAGATTTAGGGTCAATTTAATGAGGTTTTGGTGTTTCTAACATAATACCTTTTTTTTACAGGCGCCGTAATTGTATCAGTACTATCTTCTCCATTTGTACTAGGAGCAAGTTTATTACAATTGCCAAAGATTTACAGTCTTTATGCAGGTAGCATTCTTTTTCCTGTGGCTATGTTTCCATTTTGCAGAAGTGTTGTGTCCGAAATTGAACTCATCAACCTTAGAACAATTTGATCGACCAGTTCTGGTTTCAATTCGGGGTTCATTGTTTTTAAATTCATCACATTTTTTAAGGTCCGACTTGCTGATCTTCTATCGTTTGTTTTTATCCAGTTCGTTTGGTGTTAGGTTGGATCATCCTGTCGACATTACGATTCTTCCGCATTCAGGTATAAATTTGGAACTTACTTCTTTAACACCCTTTTGCTCTTACATTTTTGAAACATACTTCTTTAATACAATTTTTGAGCAGATCAGGAAGAACTTTGGATCTCACGTTGAAGTGTTTTTCGTAGTGTTGACTCTCCTTCAGTTTCACATGCTGTTCTACTGCACGCGCCCCCTTCCTAACATATTGGCATTTGGCCTAGGTAATAAATTGTGCTCGTAGAAAGATTTAACACTGGTGCTTTCTGTGTAATATTAAAAAAAAAAAAAAAAAAAAAAAAAAAAGAAAGACGCTGGTGCTTGCTGTCACGAGAGTTTTACCGCCTTATGTGATATTTGTATAGAACTAAAAATAAAATCTCAAATTGCTGTATCCTGGTCACGAATTGCAATGGCAGTTAACTTAATTAGTTGTTTGCAGTTAACTTGGCTTACGGGTATTGGTTGAAGCGAAGTTTCTATGCAGCATTAAATTCTTTGGTACGTATTCCTTATTGTCAATTAAATCTTGGATAAGTTTTACATCATTTAATGGTTACTGCACCACGCGTTATTGGTACATTCAACTATTGTTAATTGACCACTGCATGCGTTTTGTCTTCATTGCTTTCTTCGTCTTTATAGACATTCAAGAATAAAAACGAGAAATCAAATAAAAATTGTAACATGCAACATTCTCTTATCTTTATCATTTTCTATTTTTTAATGAAAAAAAACTCTGTTTTTCTGATGGTCAGATTTTCGCCACAATCGTCTTCAGATGTGATATCTTGTTACTTGCCGCCCCTCTGGGCCTGGAGTTATTGCTGGTATGTTCTCTAGCCATTGATACTTTGTCTTGAAATTTGATGTTGTTTTTCCGTTATGCTCTGTGTGTGTGTGCGTGTGTGTGTGTGTGTGTGATTAGACAGTAATTAGTTCTTCTCCTTCTTTCTTTAACTCTGTCTTCAATTAATCAACTGCAGTCTAGATCAATTTCATTACCGAAAGCTCTATTATCTTGCACGGTAACTGCTCTGTTTTGCATAGGTTCGTGACCTAAACCACGCTATTTCCTCATCTTTCACACCTTAAAACAACAACTTTTTCTCACTGATATCACTATTATAATCATGCATTATAGGTCTGACAGTGCTGGTTGATTCAATCCTATGGAGGAAGTTGTTGTGGCCTGAACTTGAAGTTTTCTGGTTCAATTCGGTGTTGAATCGAAGTTCCGAATGGGGTGTATCCTTTTCTCTGTTATCTGCTTTGTATGTTACTCCTTTTTATTATAATCTTATAATTATTTATCTTCTTCCTTAAATATTTCCCCTTTAGACACATGCTTTTCACTGGTACTTTACTTCGGCACTTCCCCGTTCATTGCTGGCCGCATATCCGCTTTTTATGGTGAGTGTAAGACGGGTTTTCGTGATAAATTATTTTTCTATGTCAAGTTAAAAAAACATTTGTTATTGGCTTAATTTTTCATGTATAAAAGCTAGTTTTGTTTTCTTGATTTTACTATAAAGCACATAATCATTTGCAATTTCATCTTAGTTTTATCGACCTTCACCTTTAAATGCTACTCAGAAGTAATTTTAACGTTGTGAACTTTTATTGCAGCTGGGTGTTTTACTTGACAAAAGGGTTCGGTTCTACATTATTCCCGTTTTATCCTTTGTTGTGCTTTACTCAAAGCTTCCCCACAAGGTAACGCAGTGCAGGAGCTCCGTTTCGTTATCTGGAACTTTTATTTTGTCAATATTGATAAATCATTATTTTACTGGTGCAGGAGCTCCGTTTCATTATTAGTTCCCTTCCTATGTTCAATTTATCTGCTGCAATTGCTGCTAGTAGAATGTACGTAACTTCTTCTTATTAACACTTGCTTAAGAATATCACAAAGAATTTATCTATAGTTATCAGAATTATGATTATTTATTTTTTTAGATAAAAATATTATCTCGATTTTCTCCAGCTACAACAACAGGAAGAAGAGTTTCTGGAAGTATCTTTATGTTGCCATGCTGGGGTTGTTCCTCGTCAGGTTACATTATTTTTTTTGTTTCTATTGTTTGCTGACGGCACCCAATTTTCTGCTGACATCACATTATGTAGTCTAGGGTGTACGATCTTGACGTTTATGGCATCGTACGAGAACTATCCTAGTGGTTACGCCCTTAAAGAATTACATAAGACGGGTGAGCTTTTTCTTCCAATGTTTCTCTTTACCGAGCATTTATTGATAAAAATATATATTAACTTTTTTTATTTTATTTTTACAGGACACTTGGCGAACAATGCAAACAAAGTGTCAGTTCACATTGATACCTTCTCAGCAATAAATGGAATCTCGCGATTTTGTGAAAATCACGAACCGTGGCGGTATGCTCGACTGCATTATTATTCCTATTTCTGTATTTATGTTCCAAATGTTTTCTTTATAGCTTAATCGCACCGTTTAAATTAGAAAGTGGATCTACTAAAAAATTATATTAAATAGTAAATACTAACTAGCACATTGACCCCTAAGCTGTACGACGATGTGTATGCTACCCCCTAAACATTTTTTTCCCACACCATGTTCATCCAAAATTCCACCGGAATCTTTGTCACATGACTTACAAATGATTTGTTCGGGGGCAAAAATGTCCGTTATTATATATGTATATGTGTATACATATTCTTTGCCATTACTCGATCCAAAAAAATCTCAGTTCATGATTTGACTATGCTTTGTTTCAGGTACTCGAAAGAAGAAGGGATCCCTTTGCAAGAATTTCAGACTAGAAATTTTACGTACCTTTTGAGGTAAATTTCCACTTCAATTATATTTACTTACCAAAGCCGAACATGGATTCTTTTCTTCAACTTTTTTTTTCGATTATTTATTTTTTATTTTATTATTATTATTTTTTTAAATTATTGTGTTACATTAACATGTATATATGGATATTTAATAAAAAAAAATTATTGCTTTATTGCAGTGAGCATGCTCAAGTCAATGGTTATAAGTGTCTCTTTAGTATAAAGGGTTTTTCAGGGACTCGTCTTCATGTTGGATTTCCTCCGATATCTCTGGTAAACGAAGAAAGCTTTATTTACCTCGTTGTTTTTTTACCTGAAGAATCGTACAAATATACCATACCTATTATTTTTTCTCTATAATACTATCTAGGTCAAAATACCAAAGGTGTTTGTGCATGGAAATGTCGAAAACGAGGAAATAATGCATAGAAGCTGGCCAGGATGCTAACATAGGTAATAAAACTCATTCAGAATTCTAATTTTCGTTCATGTGAAGGATGTGGAAAAGACTATATAGACCTTCTACTTGCCTTGCCGTTTCGGAGGTTTTAATTGCACAGTTGAATGTTATATGTACTGTGGTTTTAAAGTTTGTACTAATGTTTCTAAATCATAGATAGGATTAGGGTTTGCTCAACCTATTCATTAGCACTAACTGTGGCTTTTATTCCTTGATTAGGTCAGCCACAAAATTTCAACTGCATTCTAACCATTTGGGTTCTATTGTTATTACATAAAATACCACTTCAACAAAAATAGTTAACTTTTGGATCTTAAATTTTTGGGCAAATTACGGCCACCTCCCTGAGTTATGGTCAAATTACGGAAACCCCCCTCCTGTTTGGGTAATTACATTCAGCCCCTAAACTATATATTTTCTTATGAAAAACCCCCTCCAGGGGTAAATTTAGGGATGTTAAATCGGTAAAACCGAATCGAAATTTCGGTACGCCAACATTTCATACCGTTTACCGAACTAAATATATGATTTGGTTCGGTAAATAACCGAATTACATAAATGTTATGTAAAAATATTTAAAAGGAGGGGGATGGCTGTAATTACCCAAACAAGAGGGTTTTTTTCGTAATTTAGCCATACCTCAGGGGTACCCGTAATTTGCCCTGATTTTTTGGGTAAATAGCACTTACCCCCCATGTGGTTTGAACCTTGTGCACATTACCCCCTTTTAGTTTAAATATAGCACATGACCCCCTTGTATTTTAATATAAGCACATGGCCCCTTGTACTTTAAAAATTTTCCTACACTCCAAAAACATTGGGTACCCGTCACTGGGTAGAAATTTTCCTATCCTCTAACCGACCCGAAGTTTGTATGATCGGGTATCGGGTACCCTTCAACCCGAGTTTTTTGATTTTATTTTTTTTTTCCATTTTATATATGAAAAGACTAACCCGTCGGGTAAAACTGGGTCGGGTCAGTCGGTCGGGTTGGGTCAACGGGTACCGTTACCCGAATGACTAATTCATGAAACCACCCCTACTCATAAGTCATAAGCAATTCCGTTGACTTGACTAATTGCATACTAAGAGCCAAATTCCTCACCTTGATTTATACCACTCCATTTTACAATCTCAATATTGCACTAAGTCATCTCCTTCTTGCTTTCTTTCTCTCTCCCGGAAAAAAGAAAGAAAAAAAAAATGGCTAATTACGCCACCACAACAACACAAAGGCCATCTTCAAACCCTCAATCTCCACTGATTTCTGACGAAAACGAACCGAAAATCTCGCCCCGAAGATACCACTACACGTTCAGCTTCAACCTCTCGTCCCCCTTCAACATCCCTTCGACACCAGAATCGGCTGCCGTTAGAATAATCAAGAACCTCGAAAAATTCAGTTTGTATTACGCGGTTTTCGTATGGACCGTGCTATTCATCGTACTCATCCCCAAACGGAAAGTTTCGATTGTTTATTTGGTCGGCACAACTGATGTGGCGTTTCTATACTCCCTTCTGCTGCGTGCTTTACCGGATTCTTTTGTTCTGAATAAAATAATCGTCAGGCGAATTGTGATGTTTGTTCTGTTTGTTATTACAGCAGTTGAGATGATTCTGACTAAGGCTGCGTTTCATTTCTTTGTGGTTCTTGCCTCTACAGTGCCGATTGTTGCAGTTCATGCAGTTCTAAGCAAATGGGATGATTTTGTGGTTGTGTCTGAGAAAGAGGCTGGAGAGATTGCTCTTCTTGTGCAGAAGAAACTTGGTGATGATGTTTCTCTGTCTGAGAATTTGGTTTGAATTTTTTTTTTTTTTTTTTTTATAATTTCTATATATTGTTATTATGCTAAAAAAAGTTTGTAAGAGAGTGTGTTGAATAATAATTGTTAGTCGAATAAAAAGATCAAGAATTTGAAATTTGGACTTATTACCGAAACCCGAAACCTGAAACCCGAAAACCGAAACCAAGATATAAGTATAAAGTGATTGAAATTAGAGGATTTAGGACATGTTTTATTTAAGGTTGTGTATTGATGAATAGAATTTAAATTCTGATAATTGTGTGTAAAATTCATATATAGTTTACATATATTCACACATATATGTGTGTAATTATGTGTAAATCAAATATGGATTTTATTTTTCTTTTTTTGATAAAATAGTGGAGTTGACTCGGTCTTTGCAGACTATTCCTTGGGGGCAAAGATGGTGGATATTGACTTGACATGGTTTCACTTGAAAGTTGGTAAATATCACAATCCACACTCTTGTTACGCAAAGATCCTCTATTGGCTTATCAATTATAAAAATTGGATAAAAATTCCCCCAAACATATTTTGTATAGATAGTATATTTTAAATTTACTAACTTAGTTGAACAACTTAAACTGAAAAACTTAGTTGTAGAATTTAGATTAAAAATAGACAGTTTAGACTGAATATTAACAGGACTGCAACCAGACATTTTAAATGAAAATAATTCTTTTTTAATGATGGTGTGGCGAAAATTTGGCTGTCGCTCGGAGGCAGGAAATTGGTGAGGAGAGGCAGTGGAATAAATGCATTTTTTTAAAGTGAATATAGTTTTGAGAACGGATAAGTTGATAACAAGTTATTTTCAACTGTCCGGACGGACTTTTACCAAAATGCGAAAATATGATTGTCCTGATTTGAAAAGTTATTAATGTTTAATGATAGTAAATTGCCCCGTTTTTCAAAGTATATTTCTTATAGTACATTGAACATGATCTGACTACTACAATGCAAATTATCTATCCTCAAAATAGAAACAAAATTTATTTATTTTTCTCAATTCATTTACCAAAAAACACATTTATTTAGAACAAAAAATGGGGCCAAGCATTTTTCCGGGATTTCTTTTACTTTTCAGCCCCAAAGGTTAGTTAATATTACAAACATTTTTGTGGGTTTCTTTTGAAATAAAATAATACTTCAGGGTCTTGATTGTAAATAAAGAAAAGTAAACAGAAAAAAATGTCTCTTATCTTCAGAAATCCTCACTTCACTTCTCTCAGCCTAAACCCTACACAAAAAACTCCCCACAGTAGAGCAATGATTCTTCAACCCACCACCCCCAAACCACCGCCAAATCACCACCACCACCACCACCACCACCACCACAATCAGATCCATCTATTCTCACCGAATACGCTGTCGTTTTCTCTCAAACAACCACCCGCAATCTGTAACACACACAGAAACCCGCTCTTCGTTGCGTGTTCGTCGATATCGCAGGTTCACAGCTATGGAACGCTTGACTACGAGAGGCGGCCGATGCTGAATTGGAATGCCGTGTACAAGCAGATATCCATGCTGGATGACCCCAAATTGGGCTCCGCTTCTGTGCTGAATCAGGTGGAAAATGATGATAAGAGGCTCACGAAATGGGAGCTCTGCAGGATTGTCAAGGAGCTCAGGAAATTCAAGCGCTTCAAATACGCCCTCGAGGTAATTCGCATTTCAATTTTGCTGAATTTTTTTTTTATATGAAGTTAAATTTGGGGATTTTTAGTTTCGGTTGGCTGTATCTCGTTCTTTTGTTCTTGAGCTTTATGAAATGCTGTATACTTGATTGATTTATCAGCTGCTTGGCACTAAATTGGAAGTGGAATTTTAAGTGTTTGGATTGAAATTGAAGCATTTGAACTTAATTAGGAAAATTTTAGGGAAGGATTTCGAATTACTCCGTATCGAGTAACCTTTAAATCCATCACAATAACTCGAAAACTAGTTTAAACGGAGAGTTATTAATTTGAGTGTTAAAACTAGTCTATAAGGATAATGTTGAGTTATGTATTTTAGGATTCGGAGAGTCGTGCCTGGTTACAGAATATGCTTTTATCTAGTGAGGTTTCGCGTTATGTCTTATTGTATCGTACTGGATTTTTGTGCAACATGGTAAATTAAAGAGTTCGATAAACGGAAGTGGTCAACTGTTGTTCGGTATTTGGTATCATTTGCTTGTACCTCTGTCTGTATATCGTAGTTTGAATCGATCAGAGCAAATTTTAACGGCCCTCATTTTTTTTCTGTTTATCTATTCGTAATTCCTCAACCTGCAAATGTATATGTGGCCTCTTAGTTTTCAAGCTTCAAACAATGTTTGTGCATGTATGATAATAACTGTCAATTGTGTTTACCCTGAAAGGCTAATAGCCCTCTGTTTTAAATTTTAAGGATTATTTCCCCCCGTTGCATTTTCGTAATCAATGCACGTAATTTTTGAATTGAAAGACGCGGTACGTAGTAACTGGAACTCTATTTTTTTCTAAAAGAAGTAAAAAGTTATCGTTTGACTTACTTAGCCTCGAGAATTGACATAAAACTTCTGTTGCTTCCATCTGTCATAATTCCTACTTTTTACTCATGTTCTCTTACATTAAGATATTTAATATGGTCTATGAGCTAGTCTAGTTTCCGTAATCCTTCATATTATTTCTTTCTACTCTAATATCTCCAGCATTCTTGTGTGATTTGCAGGTTTACGATTGGATGAATAACAGAGCAGAAAGGTACAGAATAACAACAAGCGACACCGCTATTCAGCTCGATTTGATCGCCAAAGTGCACGGCATCGCAAGTGCCGAACACTATTTCCTCAAATTGCCAGATGCCTTAAAAGACAAGAGAATCTACGGGTCTCTCTTGAACGTGTACGCCCGTTCAAGAATGAGGGAAAAATCCGAGTCTCTAATGGACATAATGAGGAGCAAAGGCTACGCTAGCCACGCACTCCCTTTCAATGTGATGATGACACTCTATATGAACCTCAAAGACCATGAAAAGCTCGAATCACTAATATCAGAACTGAAGGAAAAAAACATCGCATTAGATATATATACATACAATATCTGGCTGTCATCCTGTGGTGCAAAAGGGGCTGTGGAGAAAATGGAGGAAGTTTTCGAACTGATGTCGGCAGACCCCGCCATCAATCCGAATTGGACCACATTCAGCACAATGGCAACAGTGTATATCAAGTTAGGCCACCTCGAAAAAGCCGAAGACTGTCTGAAAAAGATTGAGAGTAGAGTAACGGGTAGGGACCGTTTGCCCTACCATTATCTTATTAGTTTATACGGAAGTGCTCATAATAAAGATGAGGTTTATCGGGTGTGGAATCTTTACAAGGCATCTTTTTTCAATATTCCGAATTTGGGCTACCACACTGTGATCTCTGCCTTAGCAAGAACAGACGAAATGGAAGGGGCTGAGAAGATATACGATGAATGGCTCTCCGTGAAATCGTTCTTCGATCCTAGAATAACGAATATTCTCTTGAGCTCATATGTTAGAAAGGGGCTTTCTCAAAAGGCGGAGACTATGTTTGGCCAGATGATCGAGGCTGGTGGGAAACCTAATTCCATGACTTGGGAGATTTTTGCAGAAGACCACATTCGGAATACAAGGATATCCGAGGCTTTGTCTTGCTTAAATAGTGCTACTTTAGCTGATGGTTCGAAAAATTGGAGGCCGAATCCCTCGAATGTATCTTCGATTCTCAAGATCTGCGAGCAACAAGCTGACGTGGCAAGTAAGGACGCCTTGCTGGCGATCCTGAGGCGGATGGGTTGTCTTAATGATGTGTCGTATATGTCGTATATACCGATGCTGAGCGGTGAGAGAATTCCCGGTGGTGTTTCGGTGGCGGAAGATAGTGATGGGGGCGACGATGGAACTTTTGGACTTCTGAACGAACTGCAGGAGACCTTGTGAGAGAGTTTTCGATTTCTGACATGGCCATGCAATATAGTGTACCGTGCGAAAGGTAGGTGTTTCCTCGACGAAATTTACCCTTTTTTTAGCGACTTTTAAGTATTAGTAAATATTGAGTTTGTTAGGTACTGTTATTCTCGAAAATCAAGAATGAATTTTGGGTTTATTCAATGAAGCTCTGCAGAAACATTATTATTTTTGCTTGCTATAAGAATGAATCTTGTTGATTTGTGCCATCCTTTTTAATTATGTTGGACAAATGATGGACTCTGTATTTTTCACTGTGATCTGTATTGTGAAGAGCTTATAAGCTCATAAAACAGCTTATAAGCTTTTAGCCAAACACCCTCCTAATATCCACTATTATCACATTTCAATGATCAATGACTTTTTGGGAGGTCTAGTTTGTAGCTTATAAGTTTTTTTTTTTTTTTTTAATTGTCTATTGTTTAAAAAATCAAAATTTAATATGGAATTTTGTTTTATGTTTGTGTTTCAGAAAATATTTTAAAATTTGTAAAAACCCAAAAATGTTGGGACATGGGCATGTGCCTAAAATTGTAGGGGGTTGTACATTTTTTATTTGGTCGTGGCCGAAGGATGCGGGTCGGATGCCCGACCGATTGAAGGACGTCACATGCAATATATATATATATATATATATATATATATATATATATATATATATATATATATATATATATATATATATATATATATATATATATATATATATATATATATATATATATATATATATATATATATATATATATATATAATTAATTTATTAATTAATTTTACTTTTCTAGATTAATATTATTATTAATAAATTGTCATAATAATAGTTTAAAAATATTATTTGGACAAATTACCTTACAAGACATGCTTCCTACCTTGCCAAATTTCATTTACTTTCTCTCTGTAATTGATGTGCTTAAAATACAAGTGGCTTTAAAAAAAATTTAAAAAATCATATATATATTTAAGAAATTGTCATCATTTTCATTAATTAATTGTTTTTTTGTACGAATATTCAGTGATTAAATTAATTTTGTAATAAATAGAAGTAGTAGTACTTGAGAAATGCATATGGTGGCAGAGGACAAACTGAAGGTACTACAGTGGTTTGCCAGCATGTTATTACTCATTAATGATACAAACAAATTCACATCTGGCTTTTTTCATAAATAAAATTAAATTAAATTACATCTGGCTGGAAAGCAAGGTTCTTGATTTACCCTTTATTAAACTCTTTTGAATAATTTTCACTTGCCCTTTATACCCTTTTTAAGTTAAATTTATCTTATTAATTAATGGAATAATGGGTTCACTAAAACTTCATACAAGGGTGTAAAAGAATCGAATCGACTCGAATTTGTGATCGTTCAATTATATATGAAATTTTATCGAGTTTTCAAAATCCCGTTTGAGCTTGATTTAAGCAATTCCGTAAAGATCGAACGAATTTTGATCGAGGTGAAATGAATCCATCTTGAGTAGAATTCTCGTTTTCTATTATTATCTTTATTTATAATATTTTGTGATTTTTTTTTTAATTGAGCTCAAGTTGTAGCTGAGAATCATACAGTATCAAGATCTTAGTGCATTTCTAATGTTAAATTCTTTTTAATTTTTGCCGACAATTGTGTATTATATCTAGCTGTCTATTTTTAAGATAGCCTTAATTTTGTCATATAACATGTGTATATGAGTTATATCTATAGATTATGATTTATGATAAATAGATATTTTTGTCATATTAAATTAAAATAATATATTTCTTGTGGTAATTCAATTTTTTTTTAAGAAAATTTAAAAATAATACACCAACAAGTGGAATTTAATTATACTAATGAAGGTTTTGGAAGTGATTTGGCACCAGATCTAATCACTAATCTAATTAATAACCATTGATTAATAGACAACTCATATAGTGATATAGATATGATTCCCTTTTGGTTTTGGATCTTTTTTATTTATTTTTCTAATTTGTTTTTCATATACACAATTTAAAATATTATTTGAAGGACTTAATTAGAAGAAAAGCATCAAATCATGAACAACAAATGTTAGTGATGGTTGAATTTGTGCATTAGAATCATCACACATGAATGTGTGAGGCAAAAGGTGGGCCCACTACTCACATTTTTCACACATTCATCCAAAGACATGTAATCACATGATTGATATATCTCGGTCTATAAGTTGCTACACCCGATGAAAAGCATCGGGCGATCCAGCACCATAGTTCTGTACAAATAACTATTCACTAAGTACACATATTCATAAGTGTATGTTATTTCATCGGGTGTAGCATTTTATTATTTTTCTTTTTCTTTTTTTGTCATAAGAGCATATGATCAAGATCTAAGTTACCATGTTTTGCCCTTTAAATTTTTCATGTTTATTTAATAGAAAAAAGTGTTACTCTATAAATTAAAAAAATATATAGAAAAAGTGTGGAGCACACATGATAGGTAATTTTCCCTCCCTCACAAGTTAAGTTCAAATTCAAGAATCATCCCTACCACTAATGAGTAATTGTTCATCATTTCCCTATTTTATCCTCTAAATACTTATAAAGCCATATATTTGAATTAAGAACCCATATTTCATTCGACACGATTCATAGTTGGGTTCGATAAAAAAAAAAAAAAACACTACACTAATTAACGAGATGCGGCTAAAAAGAAGTTCGATAACGCCAAATCAGTTCTTACATAGAAAATCTAAATCCATACCGTAACACTTCTAAATAGAACTAGATCCAATTCCCCCACAAGTAAAAAGCAAAAAGTCAATATTTTGTAAAATAAATAATTAAAAAAAAAAAAAGATCTTCATGTAATAAAATAAATAAATATATACACATGTAGTCATTTTTTATAATTTTGGCAAATTCCACAAAAAGAAATGAACATAGACATATATAGTAGTGCCATCCCATATTCCCATTTGCATCTCAAAGGGCATTTTAGTCAAAACACATCTTACCACCAAAAACTAACTACCAGCCTACAAGTTGTTGGTTACACAAATTAAAAATTAAAAACAAATAATAATAATAATAATAAATAAATAATAATAAATAAAAATAAATAAATAAAAGCAGCTCCTCCCTTTTTATTATAAAGTGTTAAATATCTGTTTTTCAACATCACAAATTGAAGGAAGAAAGCTTCGACGTAGAAGCAACAATGGCGGAGCTGGAGAGCCCAAGCGTGATGCCGAAGCTCATCGGATTCCTCTCATCTCTCCTCCAGCGCGCGGCGGAGACGAACGATCTCAGCCGCGAATTTCAGCCGCCGCAGAAAATATCAGTGTTCCATGGATTGTCGAGGCCGAACATCTCAATCCAGAGCTATCTCGAGAGAATATTCAAGTACGCCAACTGCAGCCCTTCCTGCTACATTGTGGCGTACGTGTACCTCGATCGATTCACGCAGACGCAGCCTTCTCTCCCCATCAATTCCTTCAACGTTCACCGATTGCTCATCACTAGCGTCATGGTTTCTGCCAAATTCATGGATGATATGTAAGTATTTTTAAATTATTCACTTTTTCCTTTTATTTCATTTTTTTTAATTTTTATTCAAGTTTTTTTTTTTTTTTTGTCGAGAAATTGTGTCTCTGTTTGATTCGATTTTAATTTTTTTTTATGGGTGTTTTTTCTGGTTTTATTGGGGTGTTTGATTTGATTTCCCAAATTCTGGATTTTGAACTCGGATTGTGTTTTCAGAAGCCAATTTCTCTGAAATTGAACTAGGGCAGAAGTAAACAGAGAAGTGATCTTAATTCATAAGTGTGTGTGTGTGTGTGTGTGTGTGTGTGTGTGTGTGTGTGGATGCTAAAAAGAATTGTTATTAATTTTTTAATTAAATTAAGCAATTTCTTGATAATCCCAACAACCAATGTATAATCTTTGTTTAAAACTAACTTAGATTCCAGGTTGATTGATCCCTTCATTATTTTTAATCATTATTTAATTTACCATAAATTCTTGATTTTGAACTCTGATTGTGTTTTCAGAAGCCTATTTCTCTGAAATTGAACTAGTGGAGAAGTAATCTTAATTCATATGCTTCTGCTATTTTTTTAGGTGTTTATTGTCATCATGTGTGATAATTAAGCCAGTTATGTGTGTGTGTACATGCTAAAAAAATTAATATTACTTTTTTTTTTTTAAATTAAGCCAGTTCTTGATTATCCCAACAACCAATATATAATCTTTTTTTAAAACCAACTTAGATTCCAGCTACATGAAATCCAGCTTGATCTCATCATAATTTGAATATTTAAATAATTAGTATAAACAGTCTCATTCCAACATTGAAAACTGAAAGCTACAGCCCAACAAAGACTTAAAACTCACAACTGTTCACAGCAAATGATTAGCTTTTGTGAAAAAGAGATTAATATCTTAAACCATAATTAGTGATAATAAATGATTATATATATGTGTGTGTGCAGGTATTACAACAATGCATACTATGCAAAAGTGGGAGGAATAAGCACAACAGAGATGAACTTTCTAGAACTGGATTTCCTATTTGGGATGGGGTTTCATTTGAATGTGACACCATCAACTTTCCAAACATACTGTTCATATCTGCAGAGGGAAATGATGATTCACCCTCATTTCAGTGTTTCTGAAGAGCCCTCTTTCTTGTATTCTTCAAAACTTCTTCATCTCTGTTTTAATGAAGATGATTCTTCTTCTCATCAGCAAACACACCAGCTTGCTGCTGTTTAATTTGTTAGATGATCATGTTCAATGCCAATGCATTCTTCCTTTTTTCTACTGTAGTTAGGTTTAGTGGTAGGACTCTCTCTCTCTCTCTCTCTCTCTCTCTCTCTCTCTCTCTCTCTCTCTCTCTCTCTCTCTCTCTCTCTCTCTCTCTCTCTCTCTCTCTCTCTCTCTCTCTCTCTCTCTCTCTCTCTCTCTCTCTCTCTCTCTGTTGTCATTTGTAATGTTTTTCAGTGTATGTTTTTTTTTTCTGGGGAATATTTGGGAATGTACAGTTGGTTGTGTTTCTTGATTGACATTCTTGGCAATGGGGGAGCTCAATTGTTGTTTCTTGATTGAATATTATTCTTGTCACATGTTATTTCTTGATGTTTAGATACTTAGGTATATTTTTTGAATAAGTTGCAAGATTCTTGCTAGCAATTTTCTCTTGTGCACTTTAAAAAACAAGAATCTCAAGAAAAAAAAGAAAATCTTGATGATAAAAAAGAAAGTAGAGAGAAGGTGAGAGATCCAAAAGGGGAAAGGGACAATGAATGGTGAGATGATACAGTGGAAAAAAGTGATGGGGTTTTGTGGTGTGCTTATTTCTGGTGTTGAAGACAAGTCATTCCATTTGACAGTTGTATCTGATTCTTCACAGGGAACATTATACATGTGCAATCATGGAACTACATATATACATTCACATATATATACATATATATATATATATATATATATATATGTGTGTGTGTGTGTGTGTGTGTGTGTGTGTGTAACTTTGGTTTGGGCATGTGACAAGTTGAAAGAGGGATTGAGACAAGAGAGAAACAAAAAGTCATCCTCTCCTTGTGTTGATATAAAGATTGCTTTTGTTATGTGGTGTTGTTGATATTTTTTTCTTATTTATTTATTTTATTTTGTTGAGAAGTTGTTATATATGTTAAGGAGTAAAAATTTTGTGAGTAGAGAAAACGTGGGTGCAATGTGTTGTATCGTTAGATGAGTTATGAAGTTCGGCTCGAGTTGAGTTCAATTAAACTTTTTTTTGATAAAATATGTACGAAAAATCAAACTACTTGAGCTAAATTTGTGTTTGGCTTGATTAAATCTCGTTCGAGATCGGCTAGATTGCTTATCAAACCAATCTCGAACGCAAATATAAAAATTCAAACAAACTTGCGTTCGTCTCGACTTAGATTAGTTTACTCCCCAATGTATAATTTCAATAGCTAAACATTTGTAGTGGGCTAGCATTTAAAAATTTGTTATGTTTTCTTGTTTTGTTAAAACTAGCGCGAAATCAAATGAATCGAGTTTGAGTTCCATCGTAAATGGTTTTTCGAGCTCGTCACACATAACGTATGCTAGTGTAGTTTACATCTCTGACTTGTCTTGCAAGCTACACAGAAAGGTGGAATTTTGCCGAGCACACCTATATAGTTAGCTACAAATTTATTCGAAAAAAAAGAAAATAATAATAACACTATTTGGATGACAATTTCCTTACGATCTTCTTCAACACCTGGAAAGCAAACGGCACGAACGCAATGTACAAAATGTACCGGAACCTCACCGACTCGTCAGGCGCGATCGCAAAAATGGCAGATGCGTAAGTCGTCAGCATCGACAGAGTCGCCACCCACACCTCAAAGTGGAAAGGGAAACCGTACGTTAGAGATGTAATGATGACCATAGATATCGAAAGTGCCAAAGTGTTTGAGAACAAAAACACGTAGAACGCTCCCTCTTGATTCGCGTATATCGCCCTCCCGGCCCTGTGTGGGGCACGATCGTCCTGCCACACCCCGCCGGGGGGGGTTTACCCCCGCCTGGAACGTCACCGCAGCTATCAATGTAGCTACTATGAGAAGAACGTTCCTCGTTTCCGTCGGAGAATCTCGTTCTTCCTCGTACTGGAACCTAAACCAACCCCCGCTCGAAAATTTTCCTCTAGGGCTAGCCATTTATTACGAGTCGAGAAAAAAATATACGACAATTTACGAGGTTTGATTAAGATGAAGGTCTTATATATGAGGGTTTAGGCAATTGAAAATACATATAAGTGGTGTTCCACATTGAAATGAATATTCATTTACAGGTTGGGATTAGTATAAACTATGATTGATTATTTAAGTCAACAACCAAAAGTCTTGATTAAAATGCTTTTAAACGAACACCTATACGATGTCATCGAGTCGTGACATCAGCGGTTCGTTTGTATAATCGATTTTATAAGTATTCGAGTTATAATGGGATAGCATAATAGTGCAACAACTTGTGACGATATATATTATATATTCGACGATTTTTTTTTTTCAACACTTGCAATATAATAGAAAATCAAATTTCGATAGACAATGTGGTGTTCGATTCCCTAGCGTGTCGTTTTTTCCAATACTTTCGAGCTTTCTTCGCCCACCGAGGCAGCCATCTCTGAGCAAACGGCAGAGCAAAGGCAATCGAGACAAGAACGTAAGCCATCGCTTTCTGTTCGGCACGCACGCCTTCGATGGCAGTGCTGATAGCAAAACCGTAAGTGAACATCGTAGAGTACAACGCTATGTGGAGTTCTCTTTGAAACGGAAAACCGGAAGTGAGATATATTATAATGCACGTCGACGCAGTGAGGCCTAACGAGTTGCCGAACAGGAAAAGAAACGGCGTGGCGTGGGACCCGAATATGGCCGCCAATGCTGCCAGAGCAGAGCCTCCAACTGGACCTATACGCTGTCTACCGTCGGAGTCTTGATTTGGCGGCGGCGGCGGCGGCGGTGATGGTGGTGGTGGCAGTTTATCGAGAACCCCCTTTGGAGGATTAGTGCCTGCTTGGAAACAAACGGTGGCTATTAGTGCGGCCACTACTAATAGCGCGTTACGAGTTTCGGAAGGGGAGTCTCTCTGCATCTGGAACTTGAAGTATTTGAACCAGTTTCTAGAAGGTTCTTCTGATTGGAGATTGTTCTCTCGTTCGAGACATGTTTCAAACTTTTTCGACCGTTGCGGAGCACCGATTGCTCCAGCATATTCGAGCTTCTCTCTGATCTTGACGTCGTACGAATCTTGTATGTGAAGAACGTCTAGAGGTGTGAGGCCGTTAGCATTTTTCGCGTTCACGTTTATTGTTGTTCGTCCAGTGGCGATGTTTTCGCGGACAAGTAGGTCTACGCACTGCAAAATCGAACGAGGACACTTTCTCGATGATGCATATATATTAGTTAGAAATATAAATATACGAATTCACTTAAGTGGTTCACAGTAAACAGTTAAACCGAGCCAATTGACCACTCGGCAGATTCCGAGTTCGACCAAGACCGCAGTCGGGTCAAAACGTAAGCGTCAGACGAACTTACCTCATATTGCCTAGTCGAAACAGCAACGTGCAAGACAGTGTTTCAGTCGCAATCTCCCATATCGAGAACCGACTCCTTGTCTGGACCCTCGAGCCATTTCAACAGAGCGAAAAACGCATCGACCTGGTAATTCTTCACAGCAAGATGAAGGGCCGTCTCCCCGTGAATCGTGACATCTTCCAGCACGGCACACGGAGACGACGAAAGGAGCAACAAATCTATCACATCCACTCTCCCCTTGATGGCAGCGTAATGAAGGGCGGTTCTTCGGTCTTTGCCTTTGAGCCGGCATAAATCTCGCTCCTTGACCATCTCAAAGTCGCCCGCGATCACGGCTATATCCAACGGTCGAAAACCGTCCTTGTTGAGCTCTCTTGCAATACCGGAATCGATCCTCATGAGCTCCCGCGCAAAATACAGCTCCCTGGATTTCGTTGCTACGTGCAGAAGAGATTCTTGAAGGGATGCGAGTTTGAAATCGACGAGGATCGACCGATTTTCTTTGACGAGATTTGCTAGAAGTTCGAGGTTTCCATCACGGGCAGCTTCTTCCAACATTAACGTGTAGTCGCTCACCATTTTTCTTAAACTTCGTTGTCTGGTAGTTTCGACACTAATTAAATTCCGAAGAAAACGAAAAGTACTTTCGATTTTGTGTTTGTGTCCGTAGCTAAGAAAATAGCCTCATTTCTAAGGGTCCACTTAAGAAAAAATATCTATATTGCATAGTCTATGATTTTAATGCACCTTCCCATGTTGTTCCCGATAAGTCTAGATCGATTATTGAACGTCGAGATTATACCGAGCAACTAAGATTAATCGAAATATTTGGTAAACTTCACGTTTTCTTTTTTCGGATTTTTTCAACTTGGAAGCAACAATAACCAAATGGACGATGATTATCCCAATTTCCAGGTAAATTTTTCATTTTCTCAAAGAAAAAGATTTGGTTATTCCGGGTTGTACAATAGCGAAATCGCGTCTATTATTCGAAATTAATAGATATCGAAATTACTCTGTGACCTATCAATTTTCACTCCGTAAATATCACTTCAGCTATGTTAAATCTCACACCACGGGTTATCTGGTTATTTGAATATAAACTTATTTTATTGAATTTCATTTTCCTCCCCTCAATTATTTGTATAATTCACTCGAGTCCCTTCGAAAAACATGATCCGGATTTACAAAATTACCCCTACCATTTACCATTTTATAAAGATCCAAGACAAGACTCAGTAAACTAAGTGAATTATATTTGACAGTTTATGTCATCCATATAGTACAACGTTCTTTGTAATCCACCTATGGTATATGATATAGTTATCAAAAGAAAATAATAATTTGAATTATATATTTAAAAATAATATAAAAAGAAAATAATAATTTTACAAACATTCCTTTTACAAGCTTATATTATCTGGTCAACAAATTAAATAAATAAATAAATAAACATGGAAACTGGAATAATACATACATATCAAATTTGGATATTCCTCCAAATACTAATATAATAATACCTCAGACTTTCCCACCCTGTTTTACTCTACTCAAACATGAGAACAATTATTAAAGCACATAAACAAAACAAACAGCCAACACATAGAATGATTATTCCCTGGTTTCTTAGTTCTTAGTACACGAGAATCGACCGACAGTTTTGACGAGCAAATCACGACTATATAAGATTACCGGAATTCTACTCACAAGTCAACAGAGATATTCTAAACAAGACCGACGGAATCCAATTAGTATTAACAGCAAGTTTTGCCTGGTTCAAAAAAGGATTTTGCTAAGGTGACATCCGCTGTCAACACTAGCAGTTTCAGAAATAAATAATGTAACTAGACCTCAACATTTTTCCGCTACAACCGGAAATAAAATTAGCAAAGCATGATGCATATTCCTACTAATCTTGTACCATACCGAAATAGTATGGGACATCTATAATAGCAAGCAAATTTCAAACGACCAAGGACAAACAATACGAATCCCGGAGAAAGGTCCTAAATTTAACTTATGTTACGACTTTTTGCAACTCTACAAGCATAGCAAGAACATCTAGACAATGCCCAGCTCGTAAAATTTTCAGCAGCATCATTATCCATAGTTGCAACTTAATATCATTATCCACTAATATTCATTCAATTGTCTATTGGACATTAACTTGAGAAACATTCCATCTCTTCAAGACAAAATTCATCAGAAAAGATGATCCGATGATCCTCAAGACGACCAATTGAAATAAGGCAGAAACGAAAACGTGGGATAAACTCAAGCGTGAGTAACTACTGCCTAATCCCATCTAAGTGTGATCCAATAATAATCTTCGAATTTTTACTATTACGTCGAGATAGCTTCAGGCATATACATTCACTTCATTAAGACGAAAAACTGCTTTCACAACACGTAAAAAGAGATTCAAGAGACCAAACTCACTCCAACAAACCAATGGCATCAAAATGACAAAAATATGGTACCCCGACCAATAAGTAAACCATATCAAAGGACCAAGCTCGTTAGCCAATTAGCCTTTCACAACAAACCATATAGAATCGAATCATAACAAGTAACTTTGAACGTTTATTCAAGGTGGAAAATCTCAATCTCCAGGTGTCAGTCACCCTATATAACCTACGATTCCGATATTTCTTATCTCATTTCTGAATATTTTGGGGAAGTATGTTGAGCTTCCATTTGATGATCAACCACGACAAGGTAAACCGAAAAAAAAACTTGGGCAAGAACTAAACAGGCATTCTTCACCATTTCCAATTATAGTTCGCTGACCATCCAAAAATAAGAAAATGAAAAGAGAGAAATATCATTTGAAATGCTTCATCCAAAACCTTGCACCAAATAGAAGTACATGTGGCCCTTCAACACCACGTGTAGCTTCATCAGTTCAGTATTAAATTACCCTCTGAACGGATAGTATATACTTTTTCCATTTTTTTTCCACTGACAAACAATAGGAGTACTAAAAGACATTGTTTATAAATTATCGCAAGCTGGTGAACATGTCCCCGTTTAAGTTCTGAAAAAACTATGTGTCCTTACAGCATTAGTAATAAATAGGATGAAATCCAAACCAGATCTTTAAATACGTCGGTCCGTTATACAGCCACCTAAAGATTCTACTCAGAGTCTCTCTTCCAGGTCATGGAATGTCATTTATATCACTTCATCGGGATACACGAGTTGCATTAAAGGTCCAAACTTCAAACCATCATCGTCCTACAGTAGAGCAGCCTCGTCTTAATTCCAGTTTCTGCCATACACAAGTTAACCATAACCATATTGCTCCATATCTGCCGAGTATAGCACCCTCGAAAACGGATGCGTAAACTATGGCTTCAGAGTGTTTATCCATTTAATCTAAAAAATAATCCACAAGTAAAATAATACACCCTTTCGCTGCCTCATGTAATCTAGCTAACACATCAAGATAGCAAAATACACAGGAAAAAATTGGTGTGTTAGCATTTCTTCTTACCTTAATAGTAAGACCCGGAACCACTGCCTCCCATGTAATTATTACCACCCATACCGCGTCCAGGATAGAGCGACGAGGAGTAAGAGCTTCCACCAACCTGTAATTCTCATGAACAAGCACAATTAAAAAGCCAGAAAAAATATACGACAAGAATCTTACAGAGATAGACTAGATTCCAAACATACATCACTCCCACGAGGCATATAATCACCACCATAGCTTGACGAGTACATTCCACCAGCATCACTACCACCATAAGGGCCTGCAAGGAGAAAATACATTTTCAGCATAAATTGCATAAGGTAAGCGTCTCTATTTCCAACAAGTAGGGAAATTAACCACGGACAATACGAAATTCCGAACACGAAAAGTTTCAATAAAACCAGAGGCATACCTCCACCATAGCTCATACCCGGACGACCACTGTACATCCCATGAGAGTCTTGACTAGACAAAGAGCTTCTGCTTCCACTGCTTCCACCATATCCTACATTTGATCTCCCAAACCTAACATTCATGATGAAAGTAAAGGTCAGAATGTAAAGCATTTAAACAGAGAAAAAATCATTAAAACTCACAAGTAACAACCAAAACAGACCTATCACTGTATGCGTCGCCGTAGTGATGAGAAGCACTTGGACCAAGATCATAATCCACACGAGCACGAGAGTGGCGCATTCCTGCCTCAGCATAGCGTGGAGGAGGAGCATCATCCTTATATGTATATACTTAAAAAGTCAGTTGTCAATATTTGACACATTACGAGAACTTAAATCAAATATAACACTATAGAGAATCATATTCCAGAAATTACCACAGCGGAGTATGGGCGTTTTGTCCCAGGCATAGAATCATATTCGCGCCCACGTCCTTCGCGGTAAGTTGGAGGTGGCCTTTCATACCTTTGATTACTATAACCGTCATCAACATATGCTCTTCTTGGTGCAGGTCTTGATGTGACGCTTCTAGGCAAATCTGGGTAACCAGATTCACGAGGGTGAGGATAATCCTCTCTGTAGGGTGGGCGTCTATCTGAAGTTGCTCTGGGATTATAGTCTACTGGGGCTCTGCTTCTAGGGTGAAGCTCCTCCCTCTGACCATAATCCCTCTTGAAACCACCACTCTTTGGGTATGACGGAACTGTAAAGTAGAGATTAGTACATAACGCTTTTTAAAAAAAACGGCTCTCAAATATATTAGAGAAAGGTGAGCATACCAGGTGGTCTCCTATCATAGGACCTCGGCAAAGGAGCAACAGGCCTGCCCCTTGGAGGGGCATCCATAACAGGTCTTCTGTCTCGAATAACAGCAGGCCTTTTAAAGCCGCGATCAACTACAGGAGGAAAACGTGGTCCAATTCCTCTGGTGCCACGAAGAGGGATACTATGAGGAACAGGGCGGCCCCATGGACTCCTAACACCTCCAATAGATCCACGTCCAGGCCGAAAATCTCCTCGAGCAACATGTTTTCCTTTGCCCCTTTGAAGTGGTCTTGACAGTCTGGCTCTCACTTTAGCCTGAAAAATATCGCTGTTTAGCACAACTCAAATGCAAGACTGGAGGAAAAAATGTTTTAAGCAAAAAAGTATTGATTTCTATAAGTAACCTTATTATCTCCTTCACCTAATTCCTCATTATTGATACTTTTAGCACAAGTTACTGCAGCATCATGGGTATCAAACGTGACAAATCCAAAATCCTTTCTCCTGGCAGATGGCATATTACGAGCAAGCTCAACTTTCTCAATCTTTCCGTATTTTTTGAGGAGTCCCCTGATGTGTTCCTCGTCCCAAGAAGCACATAGACCATCCACAAACACAGTCTTAACCTGAATTTGAGTTATGAAGTCAACACAGCGTCGTAAACGAAAGAAAATATAAAACCTAAGTTTTTCAACACATTTAGCGTAATCAACGATTCAACAAAGAAAATATTCAGATTTAAATAATGTCGAGTATATTTCATCTAAGTACGTAACTATACTAAAACAAAGGTTCGAGTATTTTTGCAACTATAAGCTACAACAAACAGATACATACATCGAATTTAACCAAAGGATTAGATGACACCAAAAAAAGTTCACTACTGATAGAGAAACCAATATGTAATGGACTTTAACTGCTTGATAGTTTCTAAATTTTTCAGCTCAACAGTACAATGAATATTAAAAAGTACATCTCGAAAATATAACATCTAGAAAAGAAAAAGGAAAAAGAATAAACGTTAAAAGCTCAGAAATCTATATCCAGGACCTATTATTCAGCCACACTTCAGATGGTAGTTAACAGAATACAAACAAAACCTCAGCAGTGAACGTTAACTTTTTTAAAAGAAGCAAAAGTATCTAAGTGCGTACCTGGGCCATGATTTCATCGCCAGGGTCAATGAAGGAATCTGCGAACGAAATCTTAGCAGGCCTATCAACACCAAACATTATCTCCCTCTTCTGTAGACGCTTGTAAGCATCCATGGCCTCGGATCGGGAGGAAAACTCTAAGAAGGCAAATCCTCTGTTCATCGCTACATTGTTACTGTCTTCAACCAATGTCAAATCCTCGATATTATCAACACCATAGTTCTTTAACTTTTCTTTCAACTGGAAGCACAATAGATAGCAGTGAGCATCATTTGAACAACATCATAGATCTAAAGAGTGAAGAAATTATCCAATCTACTTACAGCTTCTTTTGTCCATGTCCTGCATATGTTTCCTAAAAATAGAGTATCACTGTCCTGGCTTGGGGTAACACCACACTGCTTGCCATGAACCTGGAATTCGGGATTGTCAAGAATATTCATGCGAGATATAGAGAAAAACCAGTAATCGTGACAACTATAAGATTAAGTGAGTACCACTGGGTTTTTCAGCTGAGCACAAGCTCGTTTTGCTTGCTCCACAGTTGCAAAACGCAAGAATGCAAAACCCTTGTTCTTTTGCGTTAGAGGATTCATCATGAGTCTCACTTCAGTAACTTCACCAACTTCACTGAAAACTTTCCTAAGATCACTCTCACTGGCATCCTTGTCCAATCCCCCAACAAATATTTCATATTCCTTCCGCTTGCGTCTTTCTTTGAAAACTTCATGGTGTTCATCTTCCTCGGCAGTATCAAACATCTCAGCACGCTCCTCTACACGCTGCCCGTCTTCCTCAGGTTCAAGTACATCATGTACACCTTCCATTTCCTCCTCTACCGCATCGCCTTCTTCCTCGATGTAAATTTCCTCAGGATCTTCCTCTACTTCACCTCCCAATTCTGAAGGATCATAATCTACACCACCATCCTCTTCAGGTTCATATTCAGGCTCGTTATCCTCCAAGTCTAGCCGCTCACAATCATCCAGAGACTCTTTAGCCTCATTGTTCTCTGCAAGGTAAAAGAAAGAAGACAGGCATCAAAAGAGAAGTCAAGTAACTGAGACCACGAAAGGCAACGACCATATAAATCAGAGTAATATTCTGTAAGCCAGTATCTCAATTTAAACATAAAATATTGTATATGGTAATTACATAAATAGTAATCCTCCTTCAAAAAATAGATATCATTCACAAATGTAATTGAATGCTAGGTTTTCCCGTCATTAAAACTAAGGCGTTGAGACTTTCGAACTTATAGAGCATATTTAAAAGTGTCTACTTTTTCCCCTTCCTCAACAATTCTAAAAAACCCCATAAAACCATAGGAACCGCATAAAACACATTCAGCCACAGCACTCGTTCAGAAGATGAGAGTTCTGTTGAAAATCAATGAAGGATATTTCCTTATGCGGTTTTATTTATTGTTTAAAACATCATAAAATAGTCATAAGTTAACGAGTAAATCTTCCGATTACCTTCAGATATGGAAGAATATGGTGAAACGTGATGGAGATTAGACGGCGGAGATATCGGAAGATTTTTGGGAGAGAAGTGACAGCGATGGGTGCCTGTCAATAATTACTACTTGGGGTTTAGAAGGAAATGGCAAATGACGGACGGTGGTGAACCGTGGAAATATTGGAAGAAATGCAAAAATGGAAACACTGATGGAAGCAAAAGGAAAATTGGGGGAAACAGAGAATGCAACACCAGATACGAGATATCTAGGGTTTACTGCATTTAGATTATTTCTAGAATATTGCCCTTTCTTTTAACCTTTTAATACGTAAATGAAATGATAAAATTAATAATTTGGATCAAAAGTTTGGGCCATTAGGGTCCAATCCCGGCTCCCTCACCCCCTCTACCCTCTACCCGGCCCCCAACCACGCCGCCCCTAAAAAGGAAAAAAAAACTTTATTTTATGGCTTGTGAAAGATACGCACCTAACCAATTGCACGTGTCAAATTATCAATAATTTATTGAGCTTTAAGGAAGAATGGGATATTAAATTGCAATCAGACTCCACTAATTACTTTATTATCTGTCTTTCCGAATCTATGGTAACTAAGTCTTATTATTAACAAAAAAACCAATTTGACGCAGTGAAAGAATTCATTCATACTCCAAAAGCAGCATTATTGAAAGACAGCCCTTTGCTACCGAATCTTCTTGAAGCCTAAATTAAATATCTACGGTCATGAATTTATTAGCAGCTAAAAACTAAAACTTCGCAGAACTCACAACAATCTTCTGTCAGTTACAAGAAAACATACCTACCAAGTTCCAACTATTCAAACTAGAAGCATAAAGAAAGATTCCTTTAGAAATAGGGTGTCGGGCGTGGTAAAAAGCAATATATACCTACCTACTCTAGTTGTCTCTGCTTAGAAAAATACATCACAATCTAAAGAGAAAAAAAGAAAAGAAAAAATGACCACCTTTTGCACGTTGAAAGTGAGCACAAAACCACAACGTCATCAGAGAGGGGGGAGACAATAGACATAAAGGTTGAATCACATAACCAAATGAGAGAATTTTATAAAATACACTAGGTCAATCTCATTTCTAAAACATAATGTAATAGTCATAGTAAAATCCATATGTACACGGAGAAGAAAAATCATCAATTGATTCAGAATCATTGAACAGTTCCATAACTGGGACAAATCGACCCCCTCAAAGACATGCAATAATCAATTTAATAAATTTAAAAACCAAAAGAAAAACCAGTGCAGAGAAGACGCGAACAAAATTATAACAATTGCTTTTAGAAAGAAAAAAAAAAACCCAAACCACTTTAGCATATATATACACAAAAAAAACGCGAAACTCCGGTGAATCGAATCTCACATAACAACAGTTCATCCATGCAGCAGAAGATTATGAATCTTGCAAACATACAGATCTAAAACACACAACAAACGAAAACCAATTTCACAAGAACAACATTTTACCAATAAAAAAAATCAAGAAAATAATAAATCTTCACTTACTCATGGAAGAATCGTCTTCATTATCATCCGTCTTCACAATCTCCTCAGGTTCCGTCTCCTCCGCCGTAACTACGGGTGCTTTTTCTTCCTCAACCCTCACTGCATCGGCAGCCTCAAACTCGTCGACCTCCTCCGCTTTCATGTTTGATTCCTTCAGGTCAATTCCGGCCTGCAACTTCGCCGCCGCACCCCGCCCCCGCACAGCTCGCTTGCTACCCGGCCCCGCCGCGGTTTTCTTCGTCACTCTCGGTGGCATCTTTTTTTTTCTTCGAAATTCACCGATCAACGCTTCACAAATTCAATTCAGAAGCAGAAGAATTCCAGAAAATTGAAAGAACGATCGGAAATTAGATAGTTGAGTAGTTGTATGTATGTATGTGCGCCGGTTGAATGCGAGAGAGACAGGTATACAGAAACCCTAGCAATTAAAATTGAGAAAATCTATTGTGTTTCGTGCAAGAGAGGGTCGAACACGATTTTTATAGGTGAAATTTTACTGTTGACCGTTCCACTTATTCCACACGTGTACACTCATTCTGTAATGACGAAATATTGGTCAGGATTCTATACTTTTTTATTTGATAAAATAAAAATTATTTTTTTATTTTTTTTTACAGCCATTTTTAAGCACACTGTATTTCGATTTTATATTGTTAAAAAAAACATAGTAAAAAATTACAGTTTCATGTTTTATTTTAGTTCTTTAAAAATCCGGAGTTAAATTTGAGAAATTCTGAGGGGGTGTTTCCGAAAAATACACCTATAATAAATAATATATATTATAAATACTTATTTTAATTTTTTTCGTGAAAGATTAATTTGATATAAGTTTTGTTTTAGCATTTTGACATATTGGATTATTGTTATAAGTTTTATTGGATATTATGATGTGGTGTATTTTTTTTAACTTAAATTTAATAGTTATTAGTTTTACTTTAACACTTATCAACGTAGTTCGGAAAATTATGTAATTTTCAGAAAATTTCCGCTATGTGATGAAATTTCAAAACTTATGTTATTTTTGAAAAAACAAACGAAATTCTGAAATTTCCAGGCATTTTAGAATTTGATGAATTTTTAAATTCCAAAAATTTTGGAATTGGAATTTATTTTGTACTTCCGAACATTTTTTTTAAATTTCCAAAAAAGTAAATTCCGACCAAATCCGATCCGATCCATCCGACTTTCAAGTGTCAATCCTTAATGTGAAAAAAGAAATGCACACATTGAAGAAAAGTACACGTACAGATGTAGAGATACAGATGCATGATAAACAGTAGAACAAAAGAACATCATAGTTTCTCAAGAAGAACACTGACTCCATATTCCGGCTGTACAACCAATCTAAACGCCGGCGAGTGGCGGTACTCCGGCGAAAGAGACAACCTAAATTTGGACAGCACAAGTGACAGAATGACTTTCAGTTCAGCCATGGCAAAGTGCTGACCTAAGCAGATCCGATTCCCCACACCAAACGGCATATAAGCCTGTGGAATCTTGCAAGCCCCCGAAACCCCGTTGGAGAATCTTTCCGGATCGAACTGACCCGCTTGCGGGCCCCACAGGTCTATGCTCTGGTGCATTGCGGGTATGGGTACTTGAATGTTGATGCCCTTCGGGATTTTCAGCCCTTTGAAATCGATATCTTGCAAGGCTTCTCTCACCACGTAAGCTACCGGTGGGTAGAGACGTAGGGTTTCTTGAATCACCATCAACAGCTGCCATTTTTGGAATTAGGTTAGATTCTTTGAGAAATATCGGTTTATCTATAATAATTATGCAAGAAAGATGACGAATTTCGATTTTTCAACACACTAATAATTCTACAAGGGGGGTGGGTCCCACAACACTAGAGGACTACTCGGAAAGATAATAAACTTCTACGTAAAATAGTGGGGTTTTCAAGAAGTGGTGGGGGCCGTTACCCCCTCGTAGGAAGCTTACGATTGTATTAGCTTTTTGCATGAGATGTAAGACTTCTTAAGGAAAACACGAGGTTTTAACTAGGGGTGGGATCGGAACGAAATTTCCGATTTCAATCGATCCCGATCCCGATCCAAAACTTTCTGATTACTAACGTCTTTTAATGCGAATTACGAAAATTCCGATTTCCGAAACTTTTTATTTTAGATCAAAATTGGAATGTAGATAAGATTCGGATTCCCGATCCAAATTTAATTTGCAAACCTTTTTCCCCACAAAACTCCAAAACGAATTTCTGAAAATTACACTTGTACATCAATATGATTAGGTATTTTGTACTTTAGGCGGATAAAAATTTGGAATTTAAAAATGACGCCGATTCCTATTGGAAAATTTCCAATTTTGGAACAACGTTTTTCATTCCAATTTCAGAAATTTCGATTTCTACTTTTTTTGGACCGGAATTTATATTAGGGTTTTACCAAAAAAATAAAAAAATAAATCGGAACTTTTCCAAAAGTGTTGATTCCGATCCGATCTGTCCGATTTCCACCTCTAGTTTTAACCCATTTTCTCAACTTCACTACCATGATTTACAATTTTTTTCCCTAAAGCATATGATAATAAGATAGTCGTAAAAATTGTTAAAGAGATCGTACCACTTTCATATTCCGTAGCATATCAGAAGTCGGGACATTTGTGCCACATACTTCAAGCACATCTTCACGAGCTCGATCCTGCCAATAAGGATAAGCTGCAAGTACCATCAAGCACCAAGTTGCCGAAATGGCTGTGGTCTCGTGACCAGCAAAATATATGTTCTTGCAGTTATCCACTATGAATTTGTTCGGAGTGATATCTCCAGGTATGCTATTGCTGTCATCTCCGTAACTCTCGGCTGCACTTAATAGCAATTGCAGAAGGTCTTTCTTGTTATTGTTATCCTCACCATCACCTTCGCCTCGACTTTTGACTACTTCTAGTATCTTCGAGTCTATCTCGCGTTCTAATTTCCATATCTCTTTGTTGTGCTTGTTAGGAAGGTGCCTATTAAATGAGATTGCGTCATTAGAGACATATTTTTGTTTGATGAGATATGAAGATCAGCTTGACCTTGACCTACTTGCAACGAAACTACAAGTTTATTGCATTTCATACCCATGTATAACACATACATGGGTTTTTTTGGGATGGTTTGCTAAAAAAAATGCGGAGTTTTTAACAATTAGAGAAAACACAGATGTGCCGAATGCAATAAACCATAAAAATAAGCTATATTCGAGTTCAATTCATATTCAACTTGGTTAACGAGGGTTCTATTAGACTATTAATTAAAACCAATCTTTAACAAACTTGAACAATCATGTTTTCAACTCGACTTGTTTCATTTACATTTTAATTTTTACACCATTAACGTCAGCCATGCCCATGAAAAAACGAGTTTTTGTTGCCACAATTTTAGAAAGTGCGATTCCATCAAGCTCGTGCTAGCATTTCGTTAGTACGAATGATTCGATAAATAAAGATGGGCAATACCTTAAACCGGGAATTCCGATGCTTCCCCTTGACATTACCCTTAGAAGCGATTGAAGTTTGCTGAATATTTCTTCCCCTTGTGCATACCTTCTTCCAAAGCAAGTTCTCGAAATTATATCTGCTGACAAACTTCTCAAATCCTCATCTACTCTAATTTCCACCTTCTCGTTACACCTCTCGGTTTTCTTCTCCCAATCTTTTAACATAGTTGATGTGGATTCTACCATCAACTCCACCATACCCTATCAAAGAAACCAGTCATTAAAAAAATAAAATAAAAAATCCATATTAAACTAATTGAAGGAGTTGGCTATATTATATACCTTGACTCGATCTAGGTAAAATTCAGGTGCAATAATCTTCTTCTGATGAGCCCAATAAGGGCCGTTGGATGATAAGATGCCTCGACCGAGCAAAGGACCACGCTCTGTTGATAGATACGAAGGCTTACCGAGATTTAAGGATGTGTGGAGGCTCAATTCCTTCACCATTTCTGGATCTGTAATGCAAAGTATCTGTATGTTTCCGGTCGAATACGAAAAAATCGGCCCTGCCCATTGTATCTCAAGTCATTCTCCAATAACATGTTGTTTTATATATTTGTCTGTGGATTTGTGAGCATTGAACACTCTTTTCGATCGGTTTTATGCACAAATAAACGAAACCCCAAATCTCAAAGCAAATCGAAACTGTTGATAATTACAGCGATTATTAACCTAAATTTCCAACGATCATCAATTATATCCGAAAAGGGGGAAAACGGTCCGATATAGATACACATACAATAAATACAAAACAAATTCTGTACACTTACTGAAAATAGCGGGAAAATTAGTAATTAATTTGAGGGAAGAAGAAGAACAAGTGATGGATTTGCGGTTTACCGAATTGATTTCTCCATTGATCGAGGTGTGGGAAGACGGAGGGGAACCATGAATGAACTATCGAATCTTCGGGCCGGGCTGGTGATTTTTTTAACAGAGGCTTCTGAATTTGAGCAATCGTCTTCATTTCGTGTATGTTTCCGTACAAAATCGAGGGCGGAGGGCCTCTGATTCCTTGTTTCTCGAGTATTGATCTGAGTTTTCTCGGCTTCACGAGCAAAGCATTCAGAAATCGGAGAAGAAACAGTGAAAAAATTCCCAGAGCTAGTGAGAAAATCATCTTCGTTGCTGTAATCGTCTCTCTTTCCATTGTTAATCAACCCTAACTCTGTTCTCTCTCTCTCTCTCTCTCTAAAACTCTCTCTCTCTCTCTCTCTCTCTCTCTATCTCTCTCTGCGTGTGTGTGTATGTATCAGTGTGTGTGAGCGACTGTCTGTGAGGAAAAACATGGCGCCTTTTTGTCTCTGCATTATGTTGCTACATTTTATTATTATTATTTTATTTATTACTATTATTTATTTATTGATTATTATATTATTATTATTTTATTTATTACTATTATTATTTATTTCATTTTCGGATATTCCGAATGGCCGAATAGGCAAATAATCATATATACAAAAGAATCTTAAATTTAGGGGTGTAAATGAGACGAGCAGGCTCGCGAGCTTCCGGAGCTTGCTCGAAAAAAGCTCGTACTAGAGCTCACGAGCCTGAGCTTTTCGACGAGTCGAGCTCGAGCTTCATTTCAGTTGTTCGACAGCTCGCGAGCAGGCTCGCGAGCTTTACCTTTTCTCTAGATTTTTTAATACATATTAATAATATATAATAATGGATATTATTAATAATAAAAAAAAAGAATAATATTACTTTTTTAATTGAAAAAATAAATTTGATGGATGGGTTTTTGGTTGTGTCGAGCTCGAGCTCGGGCTCGTTTCGTATATGAGCTCGAGCGCGAGCGCGAGCTCCTTAGAAACACAACGAACTCGAGCTCGAGTTAAGACTTATAGGCTCCTCAAGCTCACGAAATAAGGCGAGCTCGTCTCGTTTACACCCCTAATCTTAAACCTTAATGCAACGTAGATTTACTAATAAAATATCATCATGCCTTGTTATATAAAAATTAGGATGAACCTTTTAACTTTTCGAGGTTTAGGGCTCGTTCGGTTGTTGTTATAAGGTTTTACTGACTAAATTGTAGGGACCGGTAACACGTTCGATTAATAAGATTCACGTTTTTTCTGACCTATTAAATTACTATTTCATAAAATAAGTAGTACTCCTTGAGATTAATTTACCCCTTGAGATTAATTTAGTAGGGAATGTAACTAAACAACAAATAAACACTATTTATCCTTCAAATCATATATAATACCGAAATTTAACACATTTAATACAAAATCGAACATATGGGATCACTCGAGAGGCTTAACTCAAGATTCTTTCAATTCCCGTCTAGTAGAATTGAAGGGTCAACGTCCATTGAGCTTCGATTTGTTTCACATTCAACGATCAAGGGCTAGCCTAAGGTCCCCAATTTTATTTTTATGGATTTCGGGGTAAAAAAAATAAAAAAAAACATAGAGACATAAAAGTTTTAGTTCTCAATTTTATATAAAAATGTATAATAATAATACAGGGGCTTCAAATTCTTGATAAATTAAAAAAAAACAAAATATTAAATATAAAAAAAAAAATTAGATGGGCCCCAACTTGTTTTGGGCCTTTGGACCACTTATTAATTTGGGCCGGCTTTATCAATTCTTACAAATGGATGTCGTATCTACAAGTCCATTTGGAATGAATTTTTAACACCCTATAGCATGGAAGAAAATAATAATAATAATTTGGGGGTTTAGCTCGTAAATCCATTTTGACTAGTTTAATATACTAGACGATCCATGATGTACTGAAAAACCAATGAAATTGGATCTATATCTCTACATTTTACTGCTACAGTATCAAGAAGTTCATTCATATATAGTCTCATTATTCTTGATTGCAGTAACAAATTGCTAATGATTATGTTGGCAACTACATCCTAACATTTTAATCAATGGTTGTTGATTAACACCAGATATGTCCATTTTTTTAGACATGGGATAAAGAGCTTAGTAATATAGATGGGCGGAGCAACGGTGGCGCGAAAAGGGGCCATAAGTTGAGCTGCATGGCGTTTCTTTCGATTTTTTACCGTAATTTGATACGGTTATGTTGGAAACAATAATTATGTATTGGAAAGTGGGATAAGAGATGTTTAGCTACATGTATAGATAAAATGGAGAAGAAAAGAGAAATACAAAATAGTTTAATGAAGGACATTTCAAACATTTCGGGTTCAGTTTCGGTTTCGATATTAAAGAAGATTATGTAAATAGAAAGAAAAAAAAAAATTCCACGTAGGGTTATGCCACAATAGGAACACACAAAAATATCTTAAAAGAAACCAAAAATGAATACAGCAAAGAGGGACATATAAGAGTGCACACATGTGAATGTATATATTTAAAAAATGCATATATAATAAATAATAAAATTTTGTTATCTCTATGAAAAAATGAATGTGTGCTACTAATATTTATAGTATATCTACACACATATAAATATGTGTAAAATGGCTCGATTAACTTACCGAGTTTCAACTTTTATTCCATAAATAACTTTAAATTAAAAAATATTAGATAGCATGGAAAAATATGGGCTTAATTCCATTTTGCACCTTTAAGATATATCATTTTAGCATTTTGCACCCTCAAAAAAAATTAATAACATTTTACGCTATAGAAACACAATAAATTATGTATAATGCACTCCAAATAAATTTTCCCAGCCAATGTTTTTAGTGACATTTTTAACATGCCAAATGTCAAATCAATATTTTTCTTTCATCAAATCATTTTGAAAGTATGAAGTCTAAAAATAGAAATACATCTCATCAACATATTTATAAATTATATTTTTTATCATAAAAAAATATTTTACGAAAAAAAATCCTTCAGCTATTTCGTTATCTAGTTATTTGATAATCATATTTTATTCCAAATATTTTCACCTAATATTTCCACCAATTACAATAAAAGATTCCCCAATCCAATACTTTAGTAATAAAAGTTTTTTTTATTTATTTTGTAAGAAAATATAATTTTATTCAATAATCAGGTGTGATTTTTATTTTTTCGCACTTTTCGCACTTAAAATTAGGTCGGAGGTTGAAGAAACTAACAATTTAATTTGTTATCTTGCACAAAAAATAAATAATAACAAATAAAATTGCCCTTATTATTCAGTTTATGATGCATTGTACTTTGAGGGTGCAAAGTGCTTTTATATTTTTCAATGGTGCAAAGTGCCAAAAGGTTCCATGTTGAGGGTGCAAAATTGAACTAAGCTGAAAATATGTGGTGAAAAATAAAAACTGCAAAGGAAAGTAACGATAATTTCTTGGATGCAATTGTTATTACAAAAAGGATAAAGGATCAAATAACAATATTTATTAAATGATTACTAATAATCTTATATTATATTATTTGAAATCACAAGAAAAAAGAATTTGAAAATAAAAAACAAGAAAAAAACAGTTGGGAAAGAAAAAAAAACACAAAAAAAAAAAAAGAAAAAAAATCACCCGTTTCTCTTTCTCTCTATGTAAGAAGAACAAATTGAAATGAACCCTAGTTCTCTCCGTCTCTGTGAATCACGCACCACTACGTTTTTCTCCTCTCTCCGATCTTCCGATTGAAATTACAGATTTCGCTCAACTTCAGACGTACAGATAGATACAGTCGAAGAATTTTTGGATTCGGATTTTATTTTTTATTTTTTTTATTTAATAGTATGAACATGTACAAAGATCGAGGGGCTGGGGGCTCATCGAAAGGCGGCGAGATGTTGGATCGGAAACGGATCAACGAGGCGCTGGATAAGCAGCTGGAGAAGTCTTCACCTTCCACATCCAGAAACAAGGGTTCCGCCATCGCCGTGCCCTCCACCTCCACCGCCGCCGGGAAGCATATGGAAAACCGCTCTTCCTCCACCATCCCCGCTAGCAAGAACAAGCTCTCCGAAGGTATTAATTTTTTTATTTTTTTTTTTTGGTTTGGGTAGCTCTTCGGAGGTGGTGAATCTGATTTTTTTTCTTTTTCTTTTTGGTGTGAAATCAGTGAACCCTTTTGTTTTTTTTAATGCTTGAATTGCGAAGTATTTATTATTTAGTCGTTCGGTTCTCCGAAAGCTGGTGTCTTTGTAGGTTAAAGTATTGTTTCATCTATGCAGTGTGTTGATAGATCGATCTATTCGATGTACTAAATATGCCGTTTTTGGAATTATAACTGTTGAGTGTGGGTAATGAGTGCATCACCTTGCTGAAGTTCTTTATATTCTGATCTAATCAGTTTGGTAGGCGTGTTGACAGGGCAATTTTGATAATCTATTCTTATCAAACTGAACTGGAAATTCTGCACTGCAGTCTCCGATTTTTATATTTTATAGAAGATACGATATATGATTGGGTTTCCGTATTTGGTTTTGCTAAAGTAGTCCAATGCATATGTTTTTATGAATTGGTTTTTACATAACATGTTTGTGTTTATTACTTTTTGCTACATTTTAGCTCATTAATGTTTTTTGGAAATACTGTTATGATGGTACTTTTAAAAATACGATTAACCAAAATCCATGGTAACACGATTAATACGTTTGTTATTTGATACAACACTTGGCATTCCAGATTGAGCGAAATCTCAGTTTGATTAACTTGTTTCTTTTTACCAGTTTGGTTCACTTTGACCGACGACTCCAATTTTGGGAATATGGAGTTCACGATATTATTTGGCTTGTGATTTTGTTTTCTCTTCGTGCTATTTGTTTGTTTTTTTTTTTTTTGGTGAGCTTTTGAATAAGCTTTTCGGATATAACTGTGACTCCAAAAAAGTAATAAGTTTTAGATAACTTTTGCTGTGGTGATTTTGAGGGTTAAGCATTTAGCTAGCACATACGAGATTGTGATTTGTTGTTTGTTGATAATGCCGTAAAATTGACAAGGATACTTTCATAACGTTTAAACACACACACACACACATGTGTGTGTGTGTGAGTGTATATGAATCTGCAGATGCGCTCGTATTTGCAGATCAGTTTTTATTCCCTTTCCTTCTACCATATCTGCAGATATACGATGGCTAAATAGAAATTTAATATTCCAACTTTATGTTTATTTTTCAGAAGAATCTGACACAGATAGTGAAGAGTCTGATGTCAGTGGTTCCGACGGGGATGATACATCTTGGGTTTCATGGTTTTGCAACTTGCGCGGGAATGAGTTCTTTTGTGAAGTTGACGATGAATACATTCAAGATGATTTTAATCTCTGTGGGTTGAGCAGTCAAGTCCCGTATTATGATTATGCACTTGACCTAATCCTGGATGTAGAATCCTCTCACGGTGAGTGTTTTTTTATTTTTCTGTGATTTAAAGATGTAGGTTGAGTTGATATTTTTCCTAGATTTGGTAGTTGTATTATTTTTTTCTGCTTATAGTATGCAATTGTTGTTGCTAAATGTGTCAAGTTCTTTTATAGATCCTCGGTCGATTTATGACTGGCACCTAATGAGCCAAGGCTCATCATCTGAGTAATGAATTTTCGTCAACCGTTCCAGCTAATAAATTATATGGTGTCTGTGTCCAAATGTTCACGATATATCAGCCTTTCGAAAATACTTTTAAACTCAACATGGATATTTTATCTTTGAAACTATCGACGTTTCAGGTTAAAGCAATAAACTCTTTTAGGAATTAAAATAACAGAAAGGTAGAGAACTGTTAAAATAACTGATTCTAACTCCTGCTGTAAATTATGCAGAACCCTTTTAATGCCTTATCTTTTATTTGAGCTTTAAATGAAGTTGATTTAAATTGATGGTTAACCTCCCCTTCAGTGTGTCTGTGTGTGTGTGTATGGAAGATAACAGCGCCCAACTTAATAATTATGTTTGAACTTACTTCGATTGATGGTTGATTATAGTTACACAAATAATTTTGGACAGGCTATGAATAAATAGAAGTTTCCATTCTCTTCATGCAAATCACGTGCCAGTGTTGTTAGAATTAGTTTGTAATGATAGTGTCCTAAGATTCCGTACAAGACTGGATTAAATGTAGGATTCAATTTAGTCGATCATTTTCCTTCAGACACATTTTTTTTGTGTTGTGACGTAATTGTGGCTGTTTCGCTAAATATGCAGTTCCATGTGAGGAAGTGCTATTTCAATTTCATTTTTTTTGCTGTCAATGGCATGATTTTTTTCATTTACTTTGTTTGTGCTATAGCTTCAAGTTTCATTGTTTGACGAAATAAGAATGTTCTAGTGATAAATAGGTTGTCATTTCGTTTTGCCCTGCAATTTGCTTATAGCTTAATTTACTTGCGAAATAGTGCTTTCTCTTCCCGTATTTTCTGTTTTTACTTTTATGAGCTGAATTATCTTTATTTTAGGTGATATGTTTACCGAGGAACAGAATGAATTGATTGAATCAGCTGCAGAAATGCTCTATGGCCTTATTCACGTACGGTACATTTTGACAAGCAAGGGAATGGCTGCAATGGTAACAACATTATTGATCTTATTAATCTATTTTTACGCGCTACGTCACCCCGTATTATTATCTTTTAACTTCCTGCTCGTGAACTAAAAAAAAACAGTTAGAGAAGTATAAGAACTACGACTTTGGAAGATGCCCAAGAGTTTATTGCTGTGGGCAGCCATGCCTTCCAGTCGGACAATCAGACATACCACGGTCAAGTACCGTAAAGATATACTGTCCTAAATGTGAAGACATTTACTATCCTCGATCCAAGTACCAAGGCAGTATCCTTACTCTTTTCTCACTGTTATTTTCAATCTATTATAAATCGAATGCATTCTCTCTCTTTATGTTTTTTTTTTCAATATTCTGATTATAGGGAAGTAAACTTGACTCACTAATTGCCTGTTGTCTAGCTTTTGAACTGAAACATATTTCTTTTTATATGCCATCGATGAAAAAACTAGTCCTCCGCCTCGAACAATAATATATCTTTGTTAATTACCATAGATACGCTCGTAGTTGATATTTTACTGCATTACATTGTCTACCGAGGTTCTTAAAAATCGAAAATTGATGATTTGTGGTGCGTTTAAATGGGTTTTGCTACATTCGAATTATATGCGTTTTTATCACCGAATATTGAATATTAGTTTTGCTTTTACTTTCTTTTGGGTTCCTTGACTTCCAAAAGATATCGACGGTTCATATTTCGGAACCACATTTCCTCACCTGTTCTTGATGACTTACGGACACCTCAAGCCTCAGAAGTCAACACAAAACTACGTCCCTCGAGTTTTTGGCTTCAAATTGCACAAGCCTTGACGAACGAGTTTTTCGGCTTCGAAATTCTTCTTGCGGTAATATGGCTGCCTCAGTGTATAAAATGGGCTGTGAACGAGCCAGGTGAAAAAAAAAAAAAAAAAAAAAAAGGAAAGAAAGAGAGGAAAAAAAGAGAGAGCAGGTATTGATGTAAAATTGCTTAATTGATGTAGAAGCAATTCTATAGCTTATGAGGAATTGATGTTTAACTTCAGAGAAGCACATATGCTTATTTCGATTTTTTTTTCGGTTGAGAAATGTTTTGCAGTACTTAATGTTATGTAGTCTTTCGTGTGTGAAATGCGTAAGCACTACACTTTTATATATCGAACGAATTGCGTTTTGAGTTCGGGAGAATTGTCTGCATGCAATGCTTGCTTTAGAGTTGATAGAACAATCTTACATTCATTTCCTTTTTTTTTTTTTATAAATATTTTTATTTCATATTATTTATCACTTTAGATTTTCAATATTGCATCAAATGTATTTTTTCATGTTTTAACCTTATAAATCTAATTCTAAGTATTAATTCTCTTTTATCACATCATTAGATGATTAAGGTTATTTAAATTTTTTTAATGCGTTTTTTTTTCTAAAATTAAGACACATTTATTCAAATTCTTAGAATTTGTGCCAAGCTGAAAAAGAAAAACCAATGTTATCAGAACCGGACCGGACACAAAACCGGGTGAGGATTCGGGTCACGGTTGGACCGGTTCAATCGGGGTCAACCCGGGTTTTTTATTATTTTTATTTTTTAATTATTTAATTATTTTTATAAATATAAAAATATTATTCCCTATATTTTTTTATGTATTCCTCCTGTTTATTTCACTTTTACTCCGATCTAGCCATTCACAACTCCGACCTAGATCCGACCGTCCAAGGCAATCCCCCGCCCAGATCCGCCCAGCACGGTGATCCTCCGCGCAAATCCGGCCATCTACCATCGTTTTAGCCTAAAACCCGGTTCTTTAAATGGTTCCCGGGTCTACCGGGTTTACCGGTCGAACCGGGTTTTCGACGTATTGACCCCGGTTAATGAATTCTCCGGTTTCTGAGGTTGAACCAGACCGTATTTTTGGCGGGTCGCGGTCGAACCGGTCGGACCGGCCGGTCCGGTCCGGTTCTGACAACATTGTGAAAAACGATAATTAATTAGTAAATTCAAAACACACCTCTCAAATCCTCTCATTCAAATGCATCATAATTCACATGCATAGTGGTGGATTTAGACAAAAAATCGAAGAAAAAGTTGTAAAATAAACTTCAAATGATTACAAAAATGACAGAAGCACTTGTAGAGAAGTAAAAGCACCCATTATCTAATTTGAGAAGTGCTTTTAAGAAATACCCATCCCCCTTTTAAGACGCACCCATTGAATATTAAAGAAAATATTAAATAATATTTTTTCTCTACACAAATACTCATTAATGATAAAAAAAAAATAGTAAAAATAATTATTCCTTATAATAACTGTCTCTTTTTAAAAATATTTTTGTTCTATATTATCTGTTACTTTAGATTTTTAATACTGCATTTTTTTCCCGTTTTAACCTTATTAGTTCCACTCTAAACTTATCATCGTCAAATTATTAAGGTTATTTTAGTCTTTTATTATATTTTTTTCCTAAAATCAAGACGTCATTTATTGTCATTCTTAATACTCGTACAGAGCTAAAAACGACTGTTAAAAGAGTTTAAGTAAGAAACCAAGATAGCAAAAAAATTCACAAAAATCTAGAATAAATATCTTTTAGGTGATAGAAAGATTTAAATCTTATCTTTGAGTAAAATAATAATTTGATAGGCAACTTGGAGCTTGGCTAGATAAACTCAAAAGTGATCCATTTATATTCTTTCCAGATGAAAAAATACCATCTTCGGCTATTCCCACTCTTTCAACTTTATTCATTCCAATTTTAACCTTTACTCAAATTAAGCTATACTTTTTCTCTTTGATTTTAATATATTTAAAACAATTTATTTAAACCACATTAGTAGTTTGTATACCTTTCTATGCATCACAATTGCATTTTTTTTCAAATGCCCGTCTATGAGTTCATAGTTTCGAATAATAATTTAAGGACTCGTTCGGTTATTAATATTGGATTAGATGAAATTGGATTGATATCCTACTGACTAATTAATTATTTAGTTAGTAAGATGATCGAATGCTTAGATCTTTTATTAAATTTGTTAAATTCGGTTATTATATATGGATTTTTTTTTTTATAAAATCGCAGTAACAATGATAAAATATGATTTTAAGGATAAACTTGTCTTTTTTTTTTCTTTCTTTTTAGTCGATCCTTATAAAATTAATTGCAGCGAGGAGGATGCTACTAATTTTATGCAGTAGTAGCACTTGATAGCGAACTTCAATTTGAATAGCAAGTTTCGAATAAGTACGAATATTAGCACCCGGACATCTTATCAGCCCCGACTATATAGTCAGTAGAACCTAATAGCGGTAGGCGAACGAGACATAAATTTGAGTTGCATTATCTTATTAATTATTGAATTTAAAAATTTTAGTCAAAAAATATTCCATAACCATGATATCAAGCCCATCACTTAAATGTTAACATCATCTAGCATGGAAGAATGAAGATAAACTATACTCCAAAAGGAACAAAACCCCATCTTCATCCAAAATAAAATATTAAAAATAAATTAAATGAAGAAATACAATTTACAATAAATTGTCTTAATCAAATTGTCTCTCTTATATCCAAATAAATAAATAAATAAATAATAAATAAATAACTAAATCCATTTTAATAAATATTTATAAAAAAGACGGCTTCTTGTTTGCGGCTATGATCAATCAATCTATTATCTAACTGCTCCATTTGAAAGGGAAATTGTGAAAAGACAATTTAACCCCATTCCATATTTGGACTCATTCATTTGCTCCATATTATCTTTTCCATCCCTTTCAATTGCATCCCACCTTTTTCCATTTTTTCCACACTCACTTTTCAATTTTCCCTTTTTTTTTTTATTCTTTAAATGTGGTATTAATTTGTTTTTATGGCAATTTAATTTTTGTTTTTGGTAAAAGTGTGGCAACTTTTTTTAGATGATTCAAATTTCAAACTACACAATTTGAAAGATGGAATTTGGTCCACATTTGAATATTACCAAATTACTCGATATTAAATATCGTTTATTAGACGCTCTTTTGAGCTCGATTTATAAACATAATGAACAAGCTTTGAACACATATTTCCGTTTTAGATAATCTATGAAACACGATTCACGCTAGATGCTACTACGTGACAAATAATAAAAATATATTTTTTTCTTGAATCGACCCAATAGGGCTTAACTACACCGAACCACCAAAAATGGTATCAGAATCGAACGAATGACCGTTTAGGTTTGTCTGAATTTTAAGAATTAAAAATTGTATTTAAATTTTGTTCTATTCGATCACGAGTCGAACTTTATATCTTATCGAACGAATATATAATACTTTTTATTTCGAATTTGAAATTTTCGTCTTCTTATTTTATTTTATTCTTCTTTTATCTTCTAAATTGAAGTTTGTCATTTTTTTCCTTTCGAATTGCTTTTTCTTTTTTTCCCGAAAATACTAGTTTTCGACTTTCGACGTGTTCGATTTCCATCTAGTAGGAAGTGTCCCAAAATAGCAAGTTATAAATGAAGAGACTGAAATTGGTCCATGGCTACAATTTGGGAGAGGAGGGGCCTTCTTGCATTTATTTGTTTATTTATTTTGTTTGAAATGTATGTTTTAGGCTTTTATTTCTAGACCGTGACCGAAACTGAAATCGAAACTGAATATATCGTACAATTTACAGATACGAAACAAAACTAATAGTCTCTCTCTATTTGCAAAAAAAAAAAAAAAACTACTAGTCAACATAGACTATTAGTGAATAATTATGTCGTTAATAAATAATTATGTTGACTAATTAGCTTATTAAGACATGGATAACACAAAACGAAATTGTCCTAAAATAGAATAAATTTGAGGAGTCAATAAAACTTGCACCTCAAGTATTAGCACAAGTAATTTGAGTCTATATAGATTTTCTACCCTTTAAAATTTAATTAATTAGTAGTATTTCTGTGGTGGCTGATTAATTAATTAATTGGTAGTAGTAGTATTTTTACATTTTTTTTATAGTTTAAATTATAAATTAAAAATTTGAATTTTAATTAATTAATTAATTAATGGTGTCTCTATCCATATATTCGTGCCTTAATTAATGGGATGTTTTTCTTATTCTTTAAGTTATATGACAACTGTGGACGCGTAGAATTTAATATATATATTTGGTTTTGCTCTTTTTATCAAAATTTTGGTGAAATTGCATTTATTTCTTATCTCATACTATTTTTAGAATTTACTCAAAAAAAAAATTAGAATTAATTTTTTTATTGAAATGAAAAACTAATTCTAATTACATTATAAAAAGTAAGAAAATATATGGAAGAATCATAAATTTTGAAAAAGTTGTACCAAAATTGCAATTTTTCGGATCGAAATCGAAAATTATGTTTTTTTATTCACATAAAATATAATATAAATAATAATAATATATTATGTTGTAAGAGTAACGTTTGGAAATTTAAATAATAAAATCTCAAATTTCAATTTTGATTCAAAAGAAAATTTCAATAAATGAAAATTTTGACATTCATAATAAAAAAAATCCTCCGAAATAGAAAAAAAAAGAAGTCGATTTTCGAAACGAACATGCTCCAAGAAATTGTTATAATTTCCGCTCTTAACCATAAATTCATTAAAAAACATCTTCTACACATTAAATAAAGAAGGAAAATAACTATCTTGATATTTTATTGGATAAATTACGGCCACCCCTAAAGTATGATCAAATTACGAAAAAATCTCATATTTTATGAATTTTTTTACACATCCACCCTTGTTGTGTTAAATTTTCTCCAATTCGTACTCATTTTATTCCATTCGAGATCCAAATTTTGAAACAAGATGACCATAAGATGTGTTTCTTGGCTTGTAAATAGCAGATTGTAGTGCATTAGAAACTACATTTTGGCACAAAACAAGTACAAACAAAAGAACATTCCACTGAGTCTAGAAGATTCCGTTGCATTTGGCACCACATTGATGGACATATAAAAAAAATTATAATTGAATCGGTTGATTGTAATTACCCAAACACGAGGAATTTTACCCTATTTTATTTGTTCCATACGTCAAAATGCAATTTAAAGATAGGAAGAATGAAGCAACCAATAAGAAAACAAGAAAAAAAAATGAGATCATGATTACTCCCAAAAAAGGCAAGTAGAGTGGCAAAAAAGTAATAAACATGAAAAAACAAGGTTAAAATAGGAAACCAAATTATAGACAATATTTAATAAATAAATAAATAAATAAGCGGCCGGTCGTCTCTGGTTTCAAATTGATCTCCTGCCCCAAACAACCATTAACTCCTCGCACTCTCCGCTCCTTCTTCTTTCTTCTTCTTCTTTCTTCTTCTTCCCCTTTCTCTCTCACACACTAAACACACACACACTCCCTCTCTTCACTCATTTCCATATATAGATACACACACACAAACACATATATATAACTCACCTATTGTTGAAAAAAACACACAAATTATAGTCCCTGAATTTCCAAGGAAAAAAACACACACACACACACTAAAAAAAACTGTGGAAGAGAGAGAAAAACAAAAACAAAGTTCAGGAGAGGGTTCGATTTTTTCTTAATTTTGTTTTTTTCTGCGTTGTGAAATTGAATTAGGGTTTTTTTGTTTGGGGGGCGTATGTAATGCATCAGAAGAAATCTGAAGTACAGATCGGAACAGAAAGCAGCGGCGTCTCTTCCGATTTCAACCCAACCCCACCCCTCCCGCCTTCCTCCCTCACCCAGAAACACCCATCGCCGTCGTCTTCCTCCTCCTCCCCCCCTGTCCAAATTGAAATCCTCATCAACAACGGCGACAATCAACTCGACCAAAATGACGCTTTTGCCCTGAAGCACCCCGCCCCCTTCAAGCGTCCCCAATTCTCCACCTCCCTCACAAAGACTCCGTCTTTATCCAACGCCCTCCACAGATATGGCGTCTTCGCCGCCCAGAACCACCACCACCACCACCAGCCCGCCACCAATTTCAACCTCCTCTACAACAGGTCCCAGAAATTCCTGACGCATTTCCACCACCACCTCCGCTACCTCCGCCGCCGCCTCCGCCTCCACCTCCGCCTCATCCTCCTCCTCAGCCTCCCCTTCTTCTACTTCCTGGTCTCCCATCCTTCCAGCTCCTTCGTTCTCGATTTCCTCTCCGCTTTCGCCTTCTCCGCCGTGCTCCTCTTCTCCCTCAATTTAGCCATACCCCGCCTCCCCACCATAAGATTGTTCCTCGCAAGATCCTTGCCCTTAAAGATAACCGCAAAGGACCACGCAAACCGGCCGCACTTGCCCGTCTTCTGGTCGATCGGGTCCCGCCAAAAGGCCGATAAGAAAGCCATCTCGGGGTGCTATGTACAAGCATACAGCAATGGAGATGTGTACGAGGGAGAGTTTCACAAGGGTAAATGTAGTGGAAGCGGTGTCTATTACTATTACATGAGCGGAAGGTACGAAGGGGATTGGGTTGATGGTAAATACGATGGCTATGGAGTCGAAACGTGGGCCAGGGGTAGTCGGTATAGAGGGCAGTATAGGCAAGGTCTTAGGCATGGTTTCGGTGTGTACAGGTTTTATACGGGCGACGTGTATGCTGGTGAATGGTCGAGTGGGCAGAGCTACGGCTGTGGGGTTCATACTTGTGAGGACGGGAGTAGATATGTCGGAGAATTCAAGTGGGGTGTTAAGCATGGACTTGGGCACTACCATTTCAGGTATGTGTGCCTCTTTTTTTATATGCGTTTTTTAGTTCTTGTTTGTTGTTGTTCGATTCTTGGTTCTTCTTCGGTTGTAGTGTGGTTGAGTAGTTTTCTTGATTTGGTTCGTCGTTTTTGTGTTGACAGTGTCATTTGGTTGTTGGTGTATTGGCTGATGTTGGCTATAATTAGGATAAGATGATGCGTATGAATTAAATTCAACGGAATATTTTGAAGTGATTGATGATGACGTGAACATGGCCTTACTCTCATTGGTTGTAGACAAATTTGTTAGAAATTGCATTTCTTAAATGACACGTTTACGAACGCAGCTTTTTCGGGAAGTTTTATTGGAAGTAAGATTTAAATGACATTTAGTACTGATATATAGAGCGAGCATATGGATATTTGTTCTGTTAAAGTAAGGTAATATATGTAATTGAACATATTGACAGAAAAAAGAATGAGGAAAACTTTACATGCGTATCTACATTCACTCCTAGGAAGTGTTGAATTCCATTCGATTGCATGGAGTTTTTTTTTTTTTTTTTTTACGCTTTCTCATATTATCACCGTTTCTTTATTTGAGTTCTTGATTCAAAGAAACATGTCGAGCTATATAACCTTTTACTTAAACTTTGTTTGATGAATTTATGATATGCTTACAGGAATGGAGATAGATACGCAGGGGAATATTTTGCTGATAAGATGCATGGATTTGGAGTGTATTGTTTTGCAAACGGGCACCGTTATGAAGGTGCTTGGCATGAGGGTAGAAGACAAGGGCTTGGAATGTACACTTTCAGAAGTGGTGAAACTCAGTCTGGACATTGGCAAAACGGAGTTCTTGATGTTCCCAGTACACAGAGCACTGTATTTCCCGCTTCTCCTGTTGCGGTCAACCACTCCAAAGTGCTTAATGTTGTCCAGGTATTATTCTACACGTTTTTCGTTATTCGAATATATATTTTTTTTGCAGTTTCGTATTCGTTTTTCCCCCTCTGGGAATGCAATGGCAATGAATTATTTTTCGGAACAAATCCAAAACAAATTCGGAAATGGAAAACTTATTCCAAAAGAATACAAAAAAGTTTGGAATTTCGGAAATTGGAATGAAAAAACTTGTTCCAAGATTGGAATTTTGCGGAAAATTCCAAAAAAAAAAATCAGTCACCTGTCTATAAAATTCATAATAATAGTGATATTATTTATAGGTGTAAATTAAAAAAAAATGTATTTTTGGAAATCGGAATCCAATTTGTTCCAATTTCGTCCCGAAAAACAAAATTGAAAAGATCGGAAATCGGAAAATTTTGGATTGGAATAGGCTGAATTTGGAAATTATGTTCTAATTTCCATCCCTAACATATGTGCATGAAATTATATACTTGGACACAACTAAAAGCTAAAGAAAACAGCATTAATTTGAAGAAAAAAGATGAATGTAGAAGAAATGTACTAATAAAAAAAATTAATGATATGTTTGTAATGAAATTCATGTGGAAATTATCAGGAAGCTCGAAGAGCAGCAGAGAAAGCATACGAGGTGAGCAAAGTGGACGAGAGAGTGAACAGAGCAGTAGCTTCTGCTAACAGAGCAGCTAATGCAGCTAGAGTATCCGCTGTTAAAGCCGTGCAAAGGCAAATGCACCGAAGAAGCAATAGCGACGAGATTCCAATCCCCCTCGTCTAAAAACGAGACTTATGCGGCCATTAATCAAATCAAATCGTTAGTACATAAAGCAACTACTCTTTAATAGATCCTTCTAGATGGTGGTGGCCTTCGATTTTACTACCTTTTTTTCTTCCGGAAAAACGAAATGTTGGTTTCGTCATGAAAGCTGAATTTTCGACCAGCTCGGAGGGGAGAGAGATTTACGAGAGTGAAATTTATTTCCCGGGTTTTTTTTTTCTTTTTCTTTTTTGGGGGTTTATGTATAGTTGAAAGTAGGTATAAAATTTAGAGCTGGTAGTACAAAGGGAAACCCTTTGAGCTCAATCCAGCTTCTTTGTATGTGAAGAAATGAGTAATGAGAAACTAAAACAGAGAGATATGTTGTAATATTCTCAACTTACGTTGTAGTTTTGTCTAACCTCTGCTTTACTGTCTGAAATCTGAATATCACTATATCTTTCCATATATATATATATACATAAGAGAGAGAGAGAGAGAGAGAGAGAGAGAGAGAGAGAGAGAGATTTGCTAGAAGTATTAAACAAGGTGGAAAAACAAATTAAACTAATCCCACATTGATTAGGTCGATTGCGGAGTGATCCTAATGCAAAATTTCGATTCCAACCTGATATAACTTATAAATCATACCAAAACATAGATAGAAAACTGAATATAAGGCACTCTGAAAAAGGATGCAACTTTCATAAGTCGAAACAAATACGGAAAACAAGTACATACGAGTAGCTAACAATCTCACTAGTCTCATAGTTTATCGTTTACTTTAAACGGAAATGAAAATTCAAATGCCAGAAGAAAAAAAACATAATTTAACTCTCGGTCTGCTCCCTAAGCCTTCTGATCGTGCTCCTGACAGTCACGGCACTAGCAGTGCTGCAAAAAACAAAACATCTCGATTTTTAGCCAAACAAACAAAAAATATAAGTCCATTAATTTACGTAAAAGTGAATGCTTATTTACTTTAGAGTGTAAGCACCGCCAGCTTTCACTTTGCCACAATCTTTGCATCCCCAGATGCCGACAGCCTGCCTCTTCACGGCGTACTGTGAAAAGACGGATAAAATTGTTTATTCAGAAAAAAATCACATTACATGAATAATAAATATATTGTGTTACGAATTCTCGATTTTATACCTTTCCGCAGAACTCGCAGAAATATTTGCTGTGCTGACTCACTTCCATCTTCTTAATCTGCTTCCTCAAACTAGCACCATACCTGGTACCTGCAACATGATAAATTCCGTAAATAACACATACCAATACAATTTATAATATTAAATTTTCGACTTCAATACTCAAGAACCAAATAATATTTCTCAATCCCATATTAGAGCGCTAACAAGAAATTAACCAACATGAAATTGCCCTTAAAAAAAATGGAACAGATAATATTTCTTAAGCCCATATTAGAGCGCTAACGAAAAGCTGTTAACCAACATAAATGCTACATTATATTCATCACACACCTTAAATACCCAACCCTAATCAAGAAGATAGTGTATATTTACACAAGAAGATCCAATAAATAAAAGAATGCGCGAAAAATCGAGAAAATAAACATAAAATTACAAGTATGACTTACCATATTTCCCGACAATTCCAACTTTCTTCGTTCGTTTGGCCTACACATAGCAATGGAAATCTTGTTGAATATAAACAGCAGAAAAAACGAATACATGACTGTATAAATAACAATCCATACCCACTAATTACATTACAAAGTACCAAAGATGTAATTTTTATTTGTCAATCATAGCCATCAATTATCAGTAAGAAACATGAGTTCTTAGATCTGTAACATTTTTTAATAAAATTCCTGCACTAGTTAATTACAACAATTCCAGAAATCCCAGAAAACACAGACGCAAAATTCTAAAATGCGCCGAGATAAACAATTCATGAAGATACATACAATAATTTTAACATTAAAACAAGAAGGAATTAAATAAAGCTACAGTTCAGTACAGGAAGAACAAAAATGACGTCGTTTTAGCTAAAAGCATTTTCCACTCAATCGGAGAAGACGAAGACCGAGCACAAAGTGAAATGAGAAAAAAACAGATGTGAGAGAAAGAGAGATGAGAGAGAGAAAGAGAGAGTACCATCGGAAAAGATTGAGAGGGGCGGCGAGACGATGAAGCGAAACCCTAAATTCTGCTTGAGAGAAAGCTTTGAGTGATTTGCGAGTGGTTTTATATATTGATTAAAAAAAGAAGTTGGGACAATTGCACTGAGCTCCTCAAATTTGTACCTAACTGCAATATATGCCCTAATATTTGGGGTAATTACTGTGTGGTCCTTTATTGTTAACTTCGGTCAATTTTTTGGGGTTACATTTGAGGGTTAAAATCGTAAATTAGTTTGCTTGATGAAATAGGCAAAATGGTCAAGTTGTTGTTGAAGCCTGAGGCCCAACAAGGTAAGACCCAACAGAGTTGACCCACGCCCGAATGAAGGAGGAGATAAGATCCTATGGATCCGGGCTTCTTTGCTCATTTCATCAGACTTTGATAAATGGCCCAAAATATTGAACCCACAAGTGTAAGGCCCAAATAATAAAATACATTGTCGGTAGAGACAAACTAGGAGACCTGAGAGCTCCCCAACGAACTGGAGACCTAAGAGCTCTCCGATGAACTAGTAGACATTTGACGAGATGAAGGTAGCCCACGAGCGACGAGTGGCAAGTGCCGAGTGACGAGCTAAGGTGTCACCTCATGACTTGAGTACTAATGCATAGAAAGTATCTTGGTAACTTAAGCACTAAAATTTATAAAGTGTCATGGACTTAAAACGACTATATTAACCAAATTGAATAAAAACAGTGGCAACCGGAAAAGTCTCTATAAGTAGATGGTTCATAACCCTTAAGGTAAGCAATCTCGGATGGGTCTACCAAGTTTATAATTTATTGGAGTACATAGAGTATATTAGAATTTTATGGCAATAAGCCAATGTCCCTTATTTGTATTTGATACAGCTTCGTTAAAGTTCCTTGTGGTCAACTTGACCTTGATCATTGTCAAGGAAAAATAATCCATCAAATACTTTCCGAGTCCTATCATATCTACACACCGATGGTTTAGGAGGTATATCACTAGTTTGTTGAATTGATTCATTATCGTTTAGCTTATCTGTATCGATCTTAAAAGACCCACTTTTGGGTCTTAAACCCGCTCTGTATCCTTCGTCAGACCTACTAATGTACTCTTTCAGTTCCAAATTAATTGTCGCTTTTAGGAAATTTTTCTTATTTCAAATTATCTGTCACTTTAGAATTTCAATGATGAATTAATTACTATTTTCTCAAATTTGCCATTATTACTATTCATTAATTGAGAGAATTAATGGAAACGACATAAATAACATGGATACTATAGTCATTTTATATATTTTTCTCTAAAATCGACACATTACAATTACATTTTCTTAAAATTTCAAAATTGCCGCGAATAACAATTACATTTTAACAAATCCTCAAAAGAACTTGTTTTATTTCAAATTTAATATGACTTTTTATTTTTTTAATATCTTTGTAAAAAAAACGAAAATGCTATTTGCGGTCACAAAATTGCTATTCGCAGTTTATAACAAAACCCCCAAAACTTTTAAAAATATCAAAAAACCCCCCAAAACTGCAAATAGCAAAAAAAAAAAAAAAATCGAAAATTCAAAATCAAGCTTGAAGAAGGGTTGGGCTTCGATTTTTTGATGTAATTTCGACTCTTTTATGTGTAACATGCATTGGGTAGGTCGATTACGGAACCAATTTCATGTTAAAAAACCCTACAAATCAATTTGTAGGGCTTTTTTTTTTTCCGCAAAAAAATGTTCGAACGCGTAAGATGGGCGTTCGAAAATTTAAAATTTTTTTTTTTTTTTTTTTGCACTGGACGCCCAACTCGGGCGCCCAAATGCAGCTTGCACGCCCAACTTGGGCGAGCACTGCATGAATGGACGCCTAAGTTGGGCGTTTACGCGTTTTGGGGGGTGTTTTTAGATTTTTTTGAAAAGTTTTAGGGTTTTAATAAAATAAAGTGTTTTTTGAGGGGTTTTGTTAGAAACCACAAATAGCAATTTTCAAAACCCAAAAAACAATTCCCATTTCTTAATCATGACGTACATATATATATTATACATTCCTTTACATTAATTAAATATAAAATCCCACATTTGAAAAAGCACATTCTTCCTTATTTATATATTGAAGGGCGAAATCGTCACACTCTGACATTTTTTTCCAAATCTTGGAAAAAAAATTCACGCGTAAAATCAAAATCAAAATCCTTTACAACAAATTCTCCTCGCCGCCTTCTAGAATCTCCGATTGATCTTCTCCGCCGTAGTTAGCTTCAAATTGTCGATTCCCACCGCTATGTACATGTTAGTCAACTGCTCCGGCTGTCGCACTCCGTTGCAGTTGCCGCCGGGGGCCCCATCGATACGATGCGCTATTTGTCAGGCCGTCACTAATATAGGCGATCCTCGCCACGCGCCGACGCCGCCGCCTGCCGGACCCCCTGCTCCGCCGTCCCCGTACTCCCACGCCCCGCCTGGGCCGCCGCCAAACCCTCACGGCCGTAAGAAGGCTGTGATCGTCGGCATATCGTACAAGTACTCCCGCCACGAGCTGAAAGGGTGCATTAATGACGCTAAGTGTATGAAGCATCTTCTGACCAATAAGTTTCGCTTTCCGGAATCTTCTATTCTCATGCTAACTGGTAAATTGGATTTATTTATTTATTTTTTACTTGTTAATTTGTGTGTGTGTGTGTGTGTGTGGTTCTTTTCATGATGATTTTGGGAATAGATATAAACATGGAATATGATACACTGGAAAATTGAAAACTTTGGAGTATTGCTTTTTGCTTTTTGATTTTTCATTTGTGACCTTTCTTTGTGGGCTTTATTTCGATTCGGTTTTCGTTGAAGATAGGGAACTGTTGGATAGGTAAATGTTTGAATGAAGATAATTATTTGGTTTAGGTGTAAAAGCCCTTTCAACATTAAGGATGTGCGATGATTTGCTAGCTTCCGTAATAACTTAACAGGGGTGATGCATTTCACTGCCGTGCTTATCAATATAATAAAGTTACAGAATATCCAACTATAGATGGAAATTCTTTAGCAATCTTTGTGATAAAAACAATAACTCCCAGCCTTTAGTTTTCTCGCATGCGAGGTACATGAAATTTCAGTTAATAGCTTGCTTGATGATAATAAATAAAAGGATCCATAACTGTTTTCCAGTCACAGAGAAATAAGAATTTCTTTCTTACGTGTCACCCTATTATTCGATACTTTGCTGAGAGTAATTGTTCATGAACTTGCACAGCTTAAAAGGATATGATTATGTGAAAGAGTGAGATGTTGGGATCTCGAAAGAACCTTTTTGTTGTTACCTTAATACAGGTGTTTATGTGCCGAAAGCTTTGTGATATAGCTTGTTTTAATAATGGAAAACTCAGTTTTCAGTTCCTTTCGTATTTGATGTTTTCTTGAGTTCAAATTTTGCTGATACAAACAAAAACATTATGGAACTTTTATTGGTAATGCAAGGCTTGTTTTATGCCAATGTTATTAGTGGTGCTCAAGTACTGTACTACTACCCGAGTAAATATTTTTCTTTGACATAAATTTAAAACTACCCATAATTAGGAATTATTTTCAAACTTGCGATTTCTCTTTGATAGTTGACTTCCTTTTGGTGAATTAAAATGCAGAAGAAGAAACTGACCCCTATAGACTTCCAACCAAGCATAACATGCGGATGGCATTGTTTTGGCTCGTACAAGGTTGTCAGCCAGGAGATTCTTTGGTGTTCCATTATTCTGGTCATGGTTCGCGGCAGAGGAACTATAATGGAGATGAAGTTGATGGATATGATGAAACCTTGTGTCCACTTGATTTCGAAACACAGGGTATGATTGTCGATGACGAAATCAATGCATCTATTGTCAGACCTCTACCTCGTGGAGTTAAGCTTCACTGCATCATAGATGCTTGTCATAGCGGAACAGTTCTGGATTTACCGTTTCTTTGCAGGATGAACAGGTAAAACTTTTAATTTGCTTGATTGAAGATTGATGATGTACTCTGATATCTCTCTCTCTCTCTCTCGTTTTTTTTAATCTTTATCTTCTTAGTATCGGATGGTTGTTTGTTTCTGGAAACAGAATATATGTCATAAAAAAAATTCAAAAACGAACTTTTTGCAATAATGACAAAATTAAACATGAAAGTTGACTTTGGGGATATTTTCTTATCAGTTTGTCATTTAACAATTTCCACTCATCTTTTACATATTAGGTCGTCGGTTGATTTAGACCAATATGATACAATCGTATTTTCGTCTTCGTAAAAATAGAGCTGTTGACATTGATTGTGTTTTTTATGCCTTTGTCTAGCTAACAGTGATACCAAATAGTAAAGAACTATTCCAAAAAATTAGAGACTATTTCTCCTACCTTAGTAAAACGGACCATTTCCCGATTCGGGCCTAGTAAAACGAAGTACTACAGCCTATAAATTTTTCAATTCGTTGATGTTACAAATCCAAACTTATAAATATATGCTAACACTCTTCTCTAATTGGTTTGAGAATTGCATACCTGTTTGTAAATTTTTTGTGGGTTCCTGTTAGTAAATATCAGTTGTTTTGAATTCACCTGTTAGTATAAAGTTGGAAAATACGAAAGATTGAATTAATACCAATTGTTGGTTATAACCTTATCATTACGCAACATTATTGAAACCAGGAGTGGGCAGTATGTATGGGAGGATCACCGCCCTCGATCAGGCGTATGGAAAGGATCCAACGGTGGTGAAGCAATTTCCTTCAGCGGCTGTGATGATGATCAAACCTCAGCCGACACCTCCGTAAGTTTTACTCATTTACAGAAAATCGAAAAACCAGCCAGCATTTTGTCATTTATATATTCTTTTTTGTTTAAAAAAATTATGTAGGCTTTGTCAAAAATCACTTCTACGGGTGCAATGACTTTCTGCTTTATACAAGCCATCGAGCGCGGGCATGGGGCTACGTACGGGAGTATTCTAGCTGCAATGCGCACCGCAATTAGAGATGCTGGAAGTTCTACAGGTCCTGATCTTGGTGGTGGTATGGTGACATCACTTCTGACCATGCTTATTACAGGAGGTAGTGGAGGTGGTGTTGGTGGATTGAGACAGGTAAATTTTTTTTATCGTCTTTTTAAGCAACTGTCTACATTTAGACATTGACATTCTACTGAATTTTTAGCTCAATAGTCAATACTTAACCCCTCCCTTTTTTCTGGTCATTTGTAACGTAAATGAATAATATATGTATGTATATGATTATAAAGCTCAAGCCTTTTATATGGAAATGTTTGGTTCTATTTAGGGTTTATGATGAGGCATAAAATTTATTATCGGTCAAATCTATGCTACAGTAGGTGAAGCGTAATATCGGGTAAATTTGTAGTATTCGATTTACACACCAACGTGGATGCGTGTGTTTTCGTATTTGAATGAATGGTGAAATGGTGGTGATGTACTACGTGTATTTAGCATAGAGTAAATTCGTTTAAAATTGAGTTTTTGAACTTAAATTAACTTTCTAAAATGTTTGTTCTTGTTACAGGAGCCACAACTAACTGCTATCGAACCTTTCGACGTGTACGCGAAGCCATTTTCCTTATGATTATATACAGAGACGGAACCTGTATTTTTGCATTCGCATCACATCTAGGGGCGCGACAATTTTTCGATGCTCGAAAAATAACCTATATTATATATGATTGGTTTGGGTGGTGTTTTTTCAGAAATGTGGAATATGCTGTAATATTTACTTAGGATTGTGTATTTGTTTGTAGGAACAATATATTATGTATTCTTGATTGGGACAAACAGTATGTGACAATACATTGTTCAACTTTATTTTGAAATATTTTATTAATTTAACTGATTTAATCTCACATTAATTTATTTATTTAAAATGTAAAAAAAATTATTCAACTTAATTTAATTTTCAAGTCTAATATGGCACTATTTAAATCAAAAACTTTATTTGAAAAAAAAAAAACAATAAATAAATTGAGTCTATTGTCATGGTTTTTATTTTTTATTTTTTATTACAGCAGTGAATAAATGTTTTTCTATAATAAAAACAATAAATAAAAAAAAATAATCACATTAAACATGCCACAAATTAAATAAAAATAGACAAGCGAAAAAGTCAATACAAAAAACATTAACATCTCCTATAAATACTCAGATATCTTGACCACTACTTTGTTACAATAGTATGTTTTAATTAATTAATTAATTATATTTTTTATTATCCAACAAAGAATAAATCGAATTTTTTTTTAAGTTTAGAAAGTTTTAAGCACTCATTTACACTAATTACTAGTGAATAATTACTTATTTAATAATTATGCAATATTTATTAATTTAATCACTGTGATATATACAATTAATGTACATAAACTCCATCTCTCTCACACTGTTTTACTTTATTTCTCTATATTCATTCATTCATTCTTCTTCTGCATCTTTTTTTCTTATTATTTCTCATACGGCGTCGTTCTGTTATGGTTCACGCCATTGTTATCTCCCAGTAGAAACCCTAATTTCATTCCCAGGTGAAGTGAATCAAATTAATTACGTTGATTGCCTAATCGCTTTTTAGATTCTATTTTTTCCTCCCCCCTCTGATTGAATTTGGATGCATTTGATTTGATGGATGGATCTCTGTAGGGAGAAAAGTGTTGCTCGAGATTTCAGGGAAAGCGTTTTGTTTCTCCAATACTAGAATTTATGTCTCACAATCAATCAAGGGCTGAAAGGAGCGAGTCTGCACAGTACAAAAAAACCGGCCGATCTGGTAGCTTCAATCAGCCACGTCAGTTCTCCGGCGGCGCCTCCAATAAGGTCGGCGGCGGCGGCGGCGGCGCCCCCTCCGGCTCAGCCAATCTTTCTAACCGCAGGTGCACCTTTTTATGTAGATACAATAAGTGGTTTGTTGCATATGCATGTGGTTGCGGCTTTTTTTTTTTTTTCTTTTTTATGGCTGGTGAGGAATGTCAGTGAGACTTTTCATTCATTTGTACGGAATCTAGGGTTTCGTGAATAGACGCATGATATGTTTGGATAAATAAACAATGAATTGAGTACTAATTACTGTTTTCTTTGAGATGCAGTTTTAAGAAGTATAACAACAGCAGTGCACCACCAGTAGGGCAGCCCAGTGCAAGAAGCCCTAATGTAGATTCTAGTGTTTCACCTGCACCAGTTTCTCTACAGAATGGTGCTCATCAACAACAGCAAACTAATAGTACGTGATATATTTTGATTCTTGGCAGAAAATAATCATTTATTTTTTGCATGTACTCGTCTTGTTAAACTTTTTGAAGAGAATCGTTGATGTTAGTACTATACATTTTCTTTAATTTGGGTTGTCATTTCTTGTTTTAGGAGTGTCCGTTACACCTGTCGTCAATACATCTTCTAATGTCAAGCCGGCTGATACTCCGAGCCAGACTATCAGCCGAGCTGTTCCGAGAGCTCCATCCTCTAATGTTTCATCTGAGTCTAAGACACCCACAACACCCGGTAAAGTTATGCATTTTGGTGATCATATTTAGTTTAAGCTGTTAATTTATGTTTAAATTAATTGGATGATACATCATTGCAATAATGATGAATGCATCTTCTGCTGTTGTTGTATAATGTATTCCTCATCTACAGGAGATGCATCTAAGTCATTTCCCCTGCAGTTTGGGTCCATAAGTCCTGGTCTTATGAATGGAGTGCAGGTATGTTATAATTGCATGAAGTTTAAAATTAACTATGTGGTCCACTTTATAATTTGTGTTGATATCCTTAAACTCCAGCTCGTAAAGATGGAAGGTTCCTTTTTATTTTGTTTGTAGATACCTGCTCGAACAAGTTCTGCACCACCAAATTTGGATGAGCAGAAAAAAGATCAGGTTTGTGGTTCTCTTTTAACCAGTTGTTTTTACCTACCACGGGGAAGTTAGTTTCAGCGGATAGGATAACAGAGTTGCATGCTATGCCGTTCTTTTGATTAGACAAAATTAATGTGTTCAACAGCATATTTTTTGTGTTGGATTATATACAAAGGTTCTTGGATAGCATGCTGGGAGATGAAAGGAAGTAATAAGTTACACCTTACAAGGGAGAATAAATTTTGATTCACTGTTTATCCTTCTGTTGGATGAAGGAATGGGGGATACTTCCATGTAATAAGAAAGCTTCGGCAATAAATTAATCCTTGCGTTCCTTTCTTTTCTCCCTGTGTTTTTTCCTGTATAAATTATATTTTCCGTCATTTACTCCGAACCAAGTTAACTCTAAAGTTTAAGTTACCAATTTTTTGTTGTTCATTTTTTTGTTCAGATCAATTTTTAGGGTAACTTCCACTTTACCGCCCTCAACACTAGCCCGGTCTCACTTCATACTCTTAATTGTATCACTATGCCCTCCTCTACTTGTCAATTTTGTTTTTATTCCATCCAAAACAAAAACCAAACTCTTAGGTGCGGATATTAATAGACATAAATGCCCTTACCTCTTATATTGATACATATATCATATATGGATATATGCCAAAAAACCAATTCTTGCAGTCTTCAACGATTCGTTTTCTTGTTAACACCCAACATTTTTCTACAAGCTTCAGCAAAACCAAAAGTAACATACTGGAATCACATGACTTAAACTTATTCCATACTATACTACATGAAATCCCCAAAAAACTGAGGTTTGTCGAATGAGTTATATAGAAACCAACTGATTCACATAGGGATTAGTTCTCTCTCTCTCTTCCTTTATCTGTCTTTCTCTCTGTTCATTAGCTCAAATTCTACAACATTGAAGGGTTGTCTGAAATAGGGTTTCAATTTGGGGGAGAAACAAAAGTGTGAGAATATGACCTGGAATAAGGATTCGATTTGACGAGAAACAAAGTGTGAGAATATGTTTGGGAGAAACATTGTGCTGTAATATTATGGGTATTTAGGGATGAAAGTTTGACGGAAACCATCTATTGAAGCAATTTTACGACTAGAGGGGGCCAGAGGCATAGTGATACATTTAAGAGTACCTGAGGGTAAAGTTTAGTGTAGAGGGAGAAGGGGGTGGGGGGGTAAAGTGGATTTTACCTCAATTTTTACAGTTGTAGCATTTCTCAATATTTATTTTTCTTTGAAAATTGCCTGAACACTATATAACTTAGAGTTGATAACGCCTGACTGCAGTCATTGAACTTGTGTTCAATCAAATAGGCATGTATGGTTTGACGGCATGTTGTTTGTTTCTTATTGTGACAGGTGCGTCATGAATCATTGAGGGCTGCTGCTGCAAAGCCAGTTCAATCAATTCCAAATCAGCAATTCCCAAAAAAGGATGTGGGGATTCCTGACCAACCTAATGCTGTTGAAGCTCAGCTAGTTTCCAGATCAAAGAGGGATGCCCAAGTTTCAGCTGCACCACCTGTGACTCAATCTCAGAGTCCTTCTCGACATCCAATCCAGGGTATGCCCATGCAACTTCCATACCACCAGCCACAGGTTCCTGTTCAATTTGGTGGTCAAAATCTTCAAATCCAGCCCCAAGCCATGCCTGGACCGCCAATGCCGATGCCAATGCCAATGTCCGTACCTATAGGAAATCTACCGGTGCAGCATCCAATGTATGTTCCAGGTCTCCAGCCACACCACATGCAGCCTCAAGGAATGATGCATCAGGGTCAGAGTTTGACCTTTCCACCCCAAATGGGTGCTCAGCATCCTTCTCAGTTGGGTAGCATGGGAATGAATTTACCTCCACAGTTTCAACAGCAACCGGCTGTAAAATACAGTGGTACTCGTAAAACTGTGAAGATTACTCATCCTGAAACTCATGAAGAGCTGAGGCTTGAAAGCTCACCCGCCCCAAGGTTACACCCTAATGTGCAATCTCAATCACAGCCCATTTCTTCATTTCCTCCTAATATCCAGATGAATTTTTATCCGAGTCCTTACAATCCAGCTTCCGCCTGTTTTCCTGCCGTGAGCTCTGTTCCTATTAATACTACTCAGGTTCCTCCCACTTCTCAGCCACCAAGGCCCTATAAACAGGTTTCTTCTATCGAGACTATTATTGATCAAACATGATGTTATTCTAATAAAAAACTATCACGTCAACATTGCATGCACTGTCAATTGGGATCGGTTCAGAGTTTATGTTATTTTAATGTATTTCACCTTAATTTCTGCAGGTGACTGTGAAATCACCTGTTGGCTCTCATGGGGAGAAAGAGGTATTGCCACCCACAGGGTCACCTTCTGGTGGAAAGGCAGAGTCGTTGAAACCTTCAAGGTTACCAGGGGAAGGTTCGATTTTTCCTGGCAAGGAGATTGAGCCTTCACCATTGAGCACTTTGCCAATGCCAAAGCCCGGTTTAGGAACATCATATGCAACTGTTGCCTCATCAAGTCCTGTTGTTGTGGACAGAGTTGTGCCCCACACTTCAGTTTCGGCTTCCGATCCTATGGATGGTTCTGCATCAGCATCAACTACCACTGCTGAAGCAAGAAGTGCAGCAGTAGTGCCTGATTCTATCAAAGATAAACATATAAAACCAGGCAATGACCAGCAAGACCAGGTATTTCACGGGCTGTTTCTTTGTTTTAGTTGTGCTTTTTGAGCGAATTTACCACAAGTTATGAGCATGATTTCTACGTCTTTTCAGGTTGGAAGGCCACAAACCTCTCCATCAAGTTTGCCTTCTCAATTCCCTGAACCTGAAGCGGTAGAAGTAAAATCTATTTCATCAAGAAATAATTTGGTTTCTGAAAATGATGAGGAATCATCATCAATAATTGCAGCTGCTTCGTCTGAGGCTTCTAATTCGACAAATGAGGGTGCTGGGGAAGGAAGGACGGCTGAGATTTTTAAAAGCGTTGGAGTGAAAGGTGTAGATAGCATACAATCAAAACCTGACACAATTGGGAGAAAGGAACAAGGAGAATCCATATTATCTGGAAGTTTGGAATCATCTACACATAGTTTGGAAACTTCTTTGAGGTCTCTTTCTTTAGAATCTCCAAAAATCTCGGGCAAAATGGAGGAGATCTCTAATCATGAACTAACATCCACTACTGGTGTTTTATCTGGACATACTCCAGATAAGTTGGACGAATCTGTGCCAGTAACTGGTTTATCTATGCAAAATGATACAACTTTTACTTCAGATGCATCATTGAGTGTGCCTCATAGTATTAATACAATGGAAACAACTGTTGCAAAGTATGACCTGGTGGACCAGAAGTCTGCCCCTGTTTTAGTTTCATATCCTCCTGAAGAAGTATTGGGATCTGGAAATGAAGATGAAGATATTGTCAGTAATGGTAGTGGCTTAGTCTCTCCTTCTCCATCTAGTGTCAACGGTAAAGTCTTATCAGATGTAAATGTTTCAAAAAGTGTTGCACCCAGAGGTAAGAAGAAAAAAAAAGATTTATATAAAAAAGCAGAAGCTGCTGGGACAAGTTCTGATCTTTATATGGCATACAAGGGTCCTGAGGGAAAGAAAGAAACTGTAACGTCTGCTCAGGGCTCAGAAAGTTCTTCAAGAGTTAGTGAGAAGCAAAAATCTACGGATATGTCTCAAGAGAATGCTGTTCCATGTGAGAAACCTTCTCATGTTAAAGTGGAGCCTGATGATTGGGAAGACGCTGCTGAAATTTCTACTCCGCAGTTAGATACTTTAAAGAATGAAAATCAGGATGATGATGGATTAACAACTAAAAGGTACTCCCGAGATTTCCTTCTGAAATTTGTTGAGCAATGCACTGATCTTCCAGAGGGTTTTGAAATTGCTCCCGACATAGTAGATACGCTGGTGGTCTCGAGTGTTAATATATCACGTGAGTCATATCCTAGCCCTGGACGTAATACTGACAGGCCGGTTGTAGGTTCTAGACCAGATCGTCGTGCAAGTGGCTTGGTAGAGGAGGACAAATGGAATAAATTTCCTGGGCCTGTTATGTCAGGGCGAGGAGACATACGGACAGATGTTGGCCACATGAATAATATTGCAGGGCTTCGACCTGGCCAAGGAGTTAATTATGGTGTTGTAAGGAATCTTCGGGCTCAGCCACCTGTCCATTATGCTGGGCCTATCCTCACTGGGCCATTGCAGTTTGGTCCTCAGGGTGGGCCATTGCAAAGAAATAATTCTGATTCCGATAGGTGGCAGCGAGCAACTGGTTTTCAGAAGGGTTTGATGCCTCCTCCTCAGACGCCTATGCAGATTATGCACAAAGCTGAAAAGAAGTATGAAATAGGTAAGGTCACTGATGAAGAACAAGCGAAGCAAAGGCAGTTGAAGGGCATCTTGAACAAGCTTACGCCTCAAAATTTTGAAAAACTGTTTGAACAAGTTAAGCAAGTGAACATCGACAATGTAATTACGTTGTCTGGGGTGATTTCGCAGATTTTTGATAAAGCTCTCATGGAGCCGACCTTTTGTGAGATGTACGCCAACTTCTGCTTTCACCTTGCTGCAGATTTGCCTGACCTAAGTGTGGACAATGAAAAAATTACTTTCAAGAGATTACTCCTGAATAAATGTCAGGAAGAATTTGAAAGGGGAGAAAGAGAGGAAGAAGAGGCAAATAAAGCTGAGGAAGAAGGGGAGGTTAAGCAGACAGCGGAAGAGAGAGAGGAAAAGAGACTCCAAGTCCGAAGACGCATGTTAGGTAATATTAGACTCATTGGAGAACTGTACAAGAAGAGAATGCTGACTGAGAGAATAATGCACGAGTGCATAAATAAGTTGTTGGGTCAGTATCACACTCCTGATGAGGAGAATATTGAAGCCCTGTGCAAATTGATGAGCACAATTGGGGAGATGATAGATCACCCAAAAGCAAAGGAGTTCATGGATGCCTATTTTGATATCATGGCACAGTTATCCAATAATATGAAACTTTCATCCAGGGTCAGGTTCATGCTGAAAGATTCTATTGATCTGAGAAAAAACAAGTGGCAGCAGAGGAGGAAAGTTGAAGGTCCTAAAAGAATTGATGAGGTACACAGAGATGCTGCTCAAGAGCGGCATGCACAGGCTAGTAGGCTTGCTCGTGTTCCCAGCATGGGTAATTCTGCTAGAAGGGGTCAACCTATGGATTTTGGTCCTAGATCTTCAAATATGTTATCTCCGCCAAGTCCCCAGATTGGTGGTTTCCGTGGTGTTCCCCAGCAGCAACGTGGTTATGGTACTCAGGACGCCCGGACAGATGAGAGACATTCCTCTGAGAACCGGACCATGTCCTTTCCTATGCCTCAGAGAACCCTCGGTGAGGAGTCCATAACTCTTGGGCCACAAGGTGGTCTTGCAAGGGGAATGGCTTTTAGAGGGCAAGCATCAGCACCTAGCATCCCCTTGGCTGAGATGCCAAATTCTGGAGATGCACGGAGGATAGGACTCGGTCAGAATAACATCAGTTCCATTCCTGAACGAGCGGCTTATGGCCAAAGAGAGGATCTCATGCCAAGATATATGTCCGACAAAATCCCTGCTCCAATTTTTGACCAATCTCATCCTCAGGTGCAAAATATTACTTCTGGGAATAGAGAAGTTAGAAATGCAGGTGGCCCGCCTATTAACACACTAAACGCGTCTTCTGATAAGGTGTGGCCAGAAGAGGAATTGCAGGAGAAGTTCTTGGCTACAATCAAAGAATTCTACAGGTATACATGTGAATCTTCTTTTAATTTTACAATTTGCGCATCTTTTATAAGTTTATTAGCTAGAGTGGAATTACATTCAATATTCCTCCTGCCTCTTATTCTCTCTCCAATGCTATATTATCCGGAATAGAACCAATATTAATTGCATTTTGAAGCTACCTATGTACTTTACTACATTGGCATGGTGGTTGCTGTGTCTTTCAATTATGTCACAGCATGAAAAGAACCATTACTCTCTACTTGAGAGGAATAAATGACTGTCAGAGTCATATTCTTTGAAGCAAATTGAGTGATTGGTTGTGGGGCTTGTGGTCTACATATATGCAGAAATATTCTTTGGATGCATGTTTAGTTCGTGCTAATTACAAATACGTCTTAATTTATTGGTATCTGTTCATATTTTCCTACACTGACCAGATAGGAAAATATCCTTGACATTTGAATTGTTGGCAGGTTTTGTCTTAGGAATGATACATTGCTTTCAAATTGTTGGAAGGTTTTGTGTTAGGAATGATACATTGCTTTTAAGTTGTTAAGACAGTACTTTTTCACTTACCCCCAAGACATTCTGAAAAAGAAATCCGGGAAGTGAAGTTGCATTAGATAATTAACTATTGTTATGCATTTAGTTGGTAGTTAGGTCATTGTTGACTGGCATCTGTCCTTCTGACATATTGCAATCATTAATATTCCAAAATGATGCTTGGAATAACCAGTTACTTCAAAAAATAGGAAAAAAATATATTAATATTTTTTGCTGGAATCAGATCATGAATATTAACTGCTAGTAAGTTACATTGGCAAGGACTGTTCACTTTGGGTTTTGGGTTCCTTATGGAAATTTTATCTGATTAGTCCTTCAGTTATCTCCATTTTTTGAATTTTTAATTTGGTGCCTTTGCGTTTTGTCTCATCTGTAAGTGCGGGGTTGTAATGAAAAGTTAAATATCACATTTCCTGTTGGTAGAAAAAATTTAAGAAAAAGATAGAAAATTATTCCTTTTGATATGGAAGCCGAAGCATATATAAAGTGTATTATGGATTTTATTTTGGGAAGTGTGTGAATGGCGTCCACACTGATTCTAGGAAGGGGTCTAAGATTTCTACGTGTCCTTGTGAGTTCGACCACTCTAATTCTTAAGCTCTTTGTTACCTATTTGACATTTCATAAAGAATATACATTCTTGGAAGAAGACATTATTAGAGCTGAAACGATGTCAATAACTGAGGAGGATATTAGTATATTATGAGTTTATAGGGCACCAACCCAATTCTTTGTTGGATATAACCCGTATACATAATATCACTACGTAAACTTGTTATATTTGATCATTGCGTCTTATATCTTTTTATTGGTCCTTGATCTTTTTATTATTGGCATCCTTGAAAAATAGCACCCGGAGTTTTTTTACTTTCTTTTTCATGCATGCATTCGCTGCCACGTCCTGGTGGTACATCCATTTGGTTCTTTACTGTAAAAGCAGGTGGATATTTTTAGCTCTATGCATTTGGTGCAAGTTATAAATCACTCGAACAAACCTGTTTAGAGAGTCATTTCCAAGTTAAAAGGCTTTTGCTTTTTGTTTCCAATATTTTGTTCTAACAATTCGCTTGCCTGGCAAAAATGTGTGGAAGACGATGTAAAATAATTTTAGATATATTTATTTTAGATTTGTATTGCCATCGTGGATAATTGAGTACATTCATCTTTACAACTACGCCTGTGGGGGTATGCTTGTATACTTGCATCGGCTTCTTACTGGTTCGAGATCCATTTATTTCCGTTGTCTCTTAGTAACTTGATTATCATGTATTGACATGAAAATATTTTTGTTTATTCCAGTGCAAGAGACGAGCACGAAGTTGCTTTGTGCATCAAGGAATTTAACGCCCCCAGCTTTTATCCGTCTATGATATCTGCCTGGGTTAATGATTCTTTCGAGAGAAAAGACATGGAGAGAGATCTATTGACAAAGCTTCTTATCAATCTAACAAAACCTGGACAAGGCATGATTAGTGAATCTCAACTCATCAAAGGGTATGTATTGGTTACGACGACTCGATATTCTCATATAGTTAAATATTTTAATCATACAAAATTAATTTAATTTTTTTTTTCAATATTATAATAGGTTTGGATCTGTTCTTGCTGGTTTGGAAGATATGGTGAATGATGCACCTAAAGCAGCAGAGTTCCTCGGTCGTATTTTCGCCAAAGTGATATTGGAAAAAATTGTCTCACTTTCTAAAATCGGGCAGTTAATATACGAAGGTGGAGAAGAGCAAGGGCAGCTTGTGCAAATAGGGCTTGCAGCCGATGTACTCGGCAGCACACTGAATATCATCCAGTCGGAGAAAGGTGAGTCCGTATTGAATGAGATTCGTTCGAGTTCTAATCTTCGACTAGAGGATTTTAGGCCACCTGGGTTTAAAAAATCTTTGACAATAGATAAGTTCATTTAGAGGATACGAATGCAGAATGCTCATTTGTATCTGGTTAGAGAATTTTTATTCCTTGGTTCTTTTTAGGACACAGTTTCTAAAGTTGCAGGTTTATATATTTAATTTTGGGTTAATGGTGGATTTTTTTTTATTAGCACAAAGTCAATTATTTTTGCCAGGATATTTATCTCGATTCTAGAAAGGTTCAATTGTGAGCATTCATCATCCATATCAACAATTTTTTTGGGGTCTCCTTTTCTTCTTTATATATATATATATATATATATATATATATGTATGTATGTATATTTAATTGGTTCTTGGAAGACTATGCGAATGAATAAACATGTGATCTTAAGCTATGAATGGTGTTTGCAAATGTTTATTTATAAGTAGAAGTTAGTGACTGTGAGTTAAGTTGGTATTAAGTGTTTATTTCTAAAAGTTGGGGGTGTTTGCAAGTAAATTGGAAAATCAACTGAAATAAAAAAACAAGTTTGTGTTTGTTTTTCAAATCATAGCTTAAAGCATATTATTAAGGTGGTGTTTGCAAAAGCTGTTTTAAAGTGATTATGAACTTTTTAATGTTTAAAAAAACTGATTTTGAACCATAAAAAACTGATAGTCACTTTGGAAAAGTGTTTGCAAACACCACCTAACAAAAGCAAAAAAGGTAAAAGTTAGTTTTGCAAACGCTTAAAAGTTGATTATGATAGGAAGAAAACTCATCATCTGTATCTAGAAACTTTTGCAAACGCCACCTATAACTATAAGTTCTGTTGTAAATAAAAAAAACTCCTCTTTCTTGTTACAAATTAGCACATTACAAACTGTGTTTTATAGTATGTTAACAAAATCTAAATAACTCAACATAAACTCCCCAACGAATCTGTATAAGGAACTATACATTGCCACATTATAAATTGTGCTTCGTAATGTGTCAACGAATTGAATAACTCAATAAAAACTCTTCAACTAAGCTGTGTAAAAAAATAAAACCGCGCCTTGTATATCAAAAAAAAAAGTTCATTATTATATTACACACAAATTACTTCATTGGGTAACCAAATCGTATAAACAAATACACACACATATATATAACTTTTATTGTATGTATACATGAACATATCTGTATTTCTTTTTCTAAAGGAGGATAGTTGCTGGTTTCCTAATTCCCCTCCTAATATATACGAATACATTTCCGTTTGATTTAACTCAATATAACATGTACAAGTTTATTAAAAGAAGAAAAGAGACACTAAAATCTCCTACAAATACTCCTTATTGACCACAACCACCTAGGATAGTTTGTTACACCAACACCAAAAAAAAAAGAAAAAAAAAAGAAAAGAAAAGAAAAAAAAGAATTCACAATTAATAAAACTAAAACCTTCACAATCACAACACATAAACATATTTAAACTAGTTAGTGTTGGGAAGTGAAAAGGATTTCAATTAAAAAGGTAGACACATTTTTTAATAAATTTACCAAAATCAAAACCGTATATAAAACTATTGTTATATTAAATCGATTTTTATTAATTATATTTTCCCCTTTTCCTTTCATGAAAAAACAAAAAAAATATCAAAAATAATATATTATTAATATTTATTTTAGGTTTTAAAGTAGATAAAGTCCTTCTCTCTCTCTCTCTCTCTATCTTTCTCTCTCTTAAAATTTGTCTATACCTATTCATCTCTCTCACCCCTCACAACACACAGAATTACTCAATTTTTTTTTCTTCTTCTTCTTTCTTCTCACGCTGTCGTGGCATGGTTCCCGCCATTGTTGGCTCACAGTAGAAACCCTAATTCTCTCTCGTTCCAGGTAAACGCAAAATCGAATTAATTACTGAATCTTTCGCTGATTGACTAATCAATCGCTTTTTAGATTTTCTCCCTTTCCCCCCCTCAATTGAATGCTTACCAGAACAGCATTAATTTTTGATGCGTTTGATTTGATTGACGGATCTCTGCAGGGAGAAGTGTTACTCTAAATCTCGACGAAAGCGGTTTTTTTTCTTTTCTTTTTCCCTCAAAGGTTAGAATTTATGTCCCACAATCAATCAAGGGCTGAAAGGAGCGAGTCTACCCAGTACAAGAAAACCGGCCGATCCGGTAGCTTCAATCAGCGCCAGTTTTCCGGCAGCGTCCCCACTAAGGGCGGTGGCGGCGCCTCCTCGGCCGCGACCAATCCTTCTAGCCGCAGGTGCGCCTTTTTTTGTTAATCGAATTAAAAATATGGTATTTAATTTTTGTTGATTTTGCGAAGTGGTTTTGTACAACATGCACGTGAGTTGTGAGTTTTCTGATGGTTGGTGAGGATTGTCTTCAATTCATATATATGCTACCTAGGGTTTTATGTATAGAGTCGACTGATGCGTTTGGACAATAAATTATGAATTGCATACTAATTTTTATTTCTGCGAGATGCAGTTTCAAGAAGAATAACAACAATGCACCAGTGGGGCAGCCAGGTGCAAGAAGCACTGTTGTAGATTCTAGTAATTCACCTGCACCTCATGCTGTACAGAATGGTGCTCATCAACAGCAGCCGCCAACTTATAGTACGTGATTTGTTTTTTTCTTCTTGTGGTAAACATCATATTGTTTTTGTTGTGTGTTGGGGGGATATGGGGTGGGTGGGACTTGATTTTTGAAAAAAAAAAAACTATTCTTTTCCCTTTTGCATATACTCGGTTTTGTAAACATATTTTGCATTTATAAAAGTTTCTGCACAAGAAAATTCTGCTTCATTTTGGCCCACCCTTGTATAATGGATTTTGCAGAAACCTGCAAGCAAACTAGCTTTTTGATTCTTTTTGTAATTGTTATTAATACTTTTTATCTAACCGGACTTTCACTTTCTGTTATAGGAGTATCGGGAACACCAACCATCAGTACCTCTTCTGGTGTCAAGCCGACTGATACCTCAACCCATAGTATCAGCCGAGCTGTTCCGAGAGCTCCATCATCTAATGTTTCATCTGCACCTGCACCATCTAATATTTCCACTACTAGCTCTGAGCCTAAGCCCCCCACAACACCCGGTAAAGGTATGCTTATGCATATTGACGATCTTATATAGCTTATGCTGTTAATTTTTTTTGAAATTATTGGCTGGTATATTATTGTAATAATGATGAAGGTATCTTCTGCCGGTAGTTTCTATTGATGATTTCTACTGTTTATGTATTCCTTAGCTCCAGGAGATGCATCTAAGCCAGTTCCCCTGCAGTTTGGGTCCATAAGTCCTGGTTTTATGAATGGAGTGCAGGTATATTACATTTGCATGAAATTAACGTTGTATCCTCCATTATAATTTCTTTTGTTGTCCTTAAAGTCTAGATCCTAAGGATAAAAGGTTCCTTTATATTCTTTTTGTAGATACCTGCTCGAACAAGTTCTGCACCACCAAATTTGGATGAACAGAAAAAAGATCAGGTTTGTCGTTCTCTTTTAGCCAGTTGTTTTTACACGCCACAGGGAAGTAGCTTTCAGTTGATAGTAGAACAGAGCTTCATGATATGCTTTTCTTTTGATAGAAAAATTTATGTGTTCAAGAACATATTGTTTATGTTGGATTGTAAATAGAAGTCGGAGATTGCATGCTGGGAGATGAAAGGAAATATTAAGTTATGAGGGATAATGATTTTTAATTTACTGTTTATCCTTCTGTTGGATGAAGAGAAGAATGGGCAATACATCCACTGATAAGAGAACTTTAGCAAGAAATTGATCCTTCCCTTCCTTTTCTTTCTCCCTGTGTTTTTTCCTGTATAAAAATTAAAATAGAGTTCCCTTCCATCCCTTATGCCCAACCACGTTAAGTCTAAAGTTTCATTGATCTATAATTCAATAAACTAGAAAAAAAATAAAAAAATGTCTTTAAGTTCCATTGGCAATTTGTTATTGTTTATTCTTTTGTTCAGATCAATATTTACAGTTGTGGCATTTCATATATTCTTTTCTTTGAAAATAGCGTGAAAATTATATTACTTAGAGTTGATAACACTTGACAGCAGTATTCAATCAAATAAGTATCTACGGTTTGACTTAAAAGTTTTTTTAATCATGACAGGCGCGCCATGAATCTTTGAGAGCTGCTGTTGCAAAGCCAGTTCCATCAATTCCTAATCAGCAATTCCCGAAAAAGGATGCGGGGATTCTAGACCAACCTAAAGCTGGTGAAACTCAGCTAGTTTCCAAACCCAAGAGGGATGCCCAAATTTCATCTGCCACTCATCATCAGAGTCCTTCTCGACATCCAATCCCGGGTATGCCCATGCAACTTCCATACCACCAGCCACAGGTTCCTGTTCAATTTGGTGGTCAGAATCTTCAAATCCAGCCCCAAGCCATGCCTGGACCGCCAATGCAGATGCAAATGCCAATGTCTTTACCTATAGGAAATCTACCGGTGCAGCATCCAATGTATGTTCCAGGTCTCCAGCCACACCACATGCAGCCTCAAGGAATGATGCATCAGGGTCAGAGTTTGACCTTTCCACCCCAAATGGGTGCTCCGCATCCTTCTCAGTTGGGTAGCATGGGAATGAGTTTACCTCCACAGTTTCAACAGCAACCGGCTGTAAAATACGGTGGTACTCGTAAAACTGTGAAGATTACTCATCCTGACACTCATGAAGAGTTGAGGCTTGAGAGCTCACCTGCCCCAAGGTTACACCCTAATATCTCGATGCAATTTTATCCGGGTTCTTACAATCCCGCTTCCGGCTATCTCCCTGCTGGCAGCTCTGTTCATCTTAATAGTACTCAGGTTCAGCCCACTTCTCAGCCACCAAGGGTTAACCAGGTTTCTTCTATGAGGCTATTATTGATCCAACTTCATGTTACTCTAATAAGAACTATGGCTTCAGCATGGCGGACACTTCAATTAGGTTGGGTTCAGAGTTTATGTTACTCTAATGCATTTCACCTTATTTTCTGCAGGTGACAGTTAAACCACCTGTTGGCTCTCGTGGGGAGAAAGAGCTATTGCCACCCACAGGTTCACTTTCTGTTGGAAAGGCAGAGTTGTCGAAACCGTCAAGGTCAGGGGAAGGTTCTGTTATTCCTCTGAAGGAAATTGAGCCTTCATCATTGAGCACTTCGCCAAAGCCAAAGCCTGGTTTAGGAACATCTTATGCAACTGTTGCCTCATCAAGTCCTGTTGTTGTGGACAGAGTTGTGTCCCGCACTTCAGTTTCTGCTTCAGATCCCATGGACGGTTCTGCATCAGCATCAACTACCGCTGCTGAAGAAGCAAGAAGTGCAGTAGTAAAGTCTGATTCCATCAAAGATGAGCATAAAAAATCAGGCAATGACCAGCAGGACCAGGTATTTTATGAATTGTTTATTGTCCTAGTTGTGCACTTTAAGCAAATTTATCACATGTTATGATCATTATTTTCCACATCTTTTCAGGTCGGAATGCCACAAACGTCATTATCAAGTTTGCCTTCTCAAATCCCTGAACCTGAAGCTGTGGAAGTAAAATCTATCTCATCAAGAAATAATTTGGTTTCTGAAAATGTTGAGGGACCATCATCAACAACTGCAGCTGCTTTTTCTGAGGCTTCTAATTCTACAAGTGAGGGTGCTGGGGAAGGAAGGACGGCTGAGAATTTAAAGAGTGTTGGAATGGAAGTTGTAAATTGCAGACAATCAAAGCCTGACACAATTGGAAGTCTGGAAACTTCTTTGAAGTCTCTTTCCTTAGAATCACCAAAAGTCACGGGCAAAATGGTGGAGAGCTCTGATCACGAGCTAACATCCACTACTGGTGTTTTATCTGAACATACTCCAGATGAGTTAGAAGAATCTTTAGGTTGCTGTTCCAATGATGCTAAGATGGATGGCAATTTAGCTGTGCCTACTCTGACATCAGGTGGTCAAAGTACTAAGAGTTCTGATGCATCATTAAGTGTGCCTGATAGTCTGGAAACTTCTTTGAGGTCTGTTTCTGTAGAAACAACTGTTGCAAAGTATGACCAGGTGGACCAGAAGTCTGCCCCTGTTTTAGTTTCATATCCTTCTGAAGATGTATTGCCATCTACTGTCAACGGTAAAGCCGTCTCAGATGTAAACGTGGGAAAAACTGTTGCACAAAGAGGTAAGAAGAAAAAAAAAGAACTATTTAAAAAGGCAGAAGCAGCTGGTGCAAGTTCTGATCTTTATATGGCATATAAGGGCCCTGAGGAAAACAAAGAAACTGTAATGTCTTCTCAGGGCTCGGATAACTCTTCAAGCGTTAGTGAGAAGGAAAAAGCCATGCCATGTGAGAAACCTGCTCAGATTAAAGTGGAGCCTGATGACTGGGAAGATGCCGCTGAAATTTCTACTCCGCAGTTAGAAACTTCAAAAAATGAAATTCAGGATAAAGATGGAGATGGCTATGAATTAACAATCAAAAGGTACTCTCGGGATTTCCTTCTCAAATTTTTGGAGCTATGCACCAATCTTCCGGAGGAATTTGAAATTGCTTCAGACATAGCAGATGCGCTGATGGTATCTAGTGTTAATGTTCCACGCGAGTCATATCCTAGCCCTGGACGTAATACTGACAGGCCGGTGGGAGGTTCTAGACCAGATCGTCGTGCAAGTGGCTTGGTAGATGAGGACAAATGGAATAAATTTCCTGCGCATATTATGTCAGGGCGAGGAGATATGAGGACAGATGTTAACTACATGCATAATATTGTTGGAGTTCGACATGTCCAAGGAGTAAATCATGCTGTTCTAAGGAATCCTCGCCCTCAGCCATCCGTCTATTATGTTGGGCCTATCCTCACTGGGCCAATGCAGCTTGGTCCTCAGGGTGGGCAATTGCAAAGAAATAATTCTGAGTCTGATAGGTGGCTGCGAGGAACTGGTTTTCAGAAGGGTTTGATGCCTAATTATCAGACGCCTATGCAGGTGATACACAAAGCTGAAAAGAAATATGAAATTGGTAAGGTTACTGATGAAGAACAAGCGAAGCAGAGGCAGTTGAAGGGCATCTTGAACAAGCTTACGCCTCAAAATTTTGAAAAATTGTTTGAACAAGTTAAGCAAGTGAACATCGACAATGTAATTACCTTGTCGGGGGTGATTTCGCAGATTTTTGATAAAGCTCTCATGGAGCCGACCTTTTGTGAGATGTACGCCAACTTCTGCTTTCACCTTGCTGCAGATTTGCCTGACCTAAGTGTGGACAATGAAAAAATTACTTTCAAGAGATTACTCCTGAATAAATGTCAGGAAGAATTTGAAAGGGGAGAAAGAGAGGAAGAAGAGGCAAATAAAGCTGAGGAAGAAGGGGAGGTTAAGCAGACAGCGGAAGAGAGAGAGGAAAAGAGACTCCAAGTCCGAAGACGCATGTTAGGTAATATTAGACTCATTGGAGAACTGTACAAGAAGAGAATGCTGACTGAGAGAATAATGCACGAGTGCATAAATAAGTTGTTGGGTCAGTATCACAATCCTGATGAGGAGAATATTGAAGCCCTGTGCAAATTGATGAGCACAATTGGGGAGATGATAGATCACCCAAAAGCAAAGGAGTTCATGGATGCCTATTTTGATATCATGGCACAGTTATCCAATAATATGAAACTTTCATCCAGGGTCAGGTTCATGCTGAAAGATTCTATTGATCTGAGAAAGAACAAGTGGCAGCAGAGGAGGAAAGTTGAAGGTCCGAAAAAGATTGATGAGGTACACAGAGATGCTGCTCAAGAGCGGCATGCACAGGCTAGTAGGCTTGCTCGTGTTCCCAGCATGGGTAATTCTGCTAGAAGGGGTCAACCTATGGATTTTGCTTCTAGATCTTCAAATATGTTATCTCCGCCAAGTCCCCAGATTGGTGGTTTCCGTGGTGTTCCCCCGCAGTCACGTGGTTATGGTTCTCAGGACGCTCGGACAGATGAGAGACATTCCTCTGAGAACAGGACCATGTCCGTTCCCATGCCTCAAAGACCTCCTGGTGATGAAACCATAACTCTTGGGCCTCAAGGTGGTCTTGCAAGGGGAATGGCTTTCAGAGGTTATCCATCAGCACCTAGCAGCATTCCTTTCGTTGAGATGCCGAGTTCTGGTGATGCACGGAGGGTGGGACTCGGCCAGAACAGCTTCAGTTCCATGTCAGAACGAGCAGCTTATGGGCCAGAAGTAATTGTTGCTGCTCCAATTTACGACCAATCTCATCCTCAGGAGCGAAATGATACCTATGTGAATAGAGAAGTTAGAAATATGGATCACAGTTCCGATCGAGCTGTGCCTGTTTCTTCACATGCTAGAGGTGGCCCACCTACTAGTACACAAAACGCGTCTTCAGATAAGGTGTGGACAGATGAGCTGCAGGCGAAGTCATTGGCTACAATCAAAGAATTCTACAGGTATTTTTCTATGCATCTTTGCAAAAAAATGTGAAAGTTTATTAGCCAGATTTGGACACATATTACTACTGCCAGATTCTGTCAGTGTCATTAAATTTATCCATTTTATTATATTTGAAACAGAATAAAATTCGGATAGATATTAGCACAAGTAAGCAGGTAATTGAAAGAACTAAATATGTGGGGAACAATAATTTCTGGAGGCATTATTTGTCTTGCTAGTCCCGACACAAGATAAGGTGTAGAACTTCTTGATTCTTGTGTCGAACGAGTAATGACTTTTAATTCTGATGATTTAATTCTGGGGATTGAGTGAATGACATCCACACCGACTTTATGGAAGGGTCCTAGATTTCAATGTTGTCCTCTGAGGACAATTCTAATTCTTGAACTCTTTCCTGGCTGCTACACATTCCATATTGCTTAAATTTACATGGGATATGTCACACAATCTTGGTTAATTTAGAATCAGTTCGTCCTTGAGAAATGATGACGGTTCACACAAGGCATGTTAGAAGAGTAGAGTGCGTGGATTTTTATCTGGTTCTTAAAAGCAAAACATATCTTGCTGATTGCATATTTAAGAAAGTTACTTTAGGAAGATGGTATTAGTGTTTTGAGATCCATTTATATCTGTTGGCTTTTAGTGACTTTATAATGGTTGGGATGGACAAAAGAAAAAAAAAGGAAAATTCAATTACGTATTAACATGATATTTTTTCTGTTTATTCCAGTGCAAGAGATGAGCACGAAGTTGCTTTGTGCATGAAGGAATTTGACACGCCCAGCTTTTATCCATCCATGATCTCTGCCTGGGTTAATGATTCTTTCGAGAGAAAAGACATGGAGAGAGATCTTTTGACAAAGCTTCTTATCAATCTAACAAAACCTGGACAAGGGATGATTACTGAATCTCAACTCATCAAAGGGTATGTATTATTTGGCTACGACGACTCGATATTCTCGTATGGTTAAATATTTTAATCATACCAGATTAATTTTAATTTTTTTTCCCCATATTATAATAGGTTTGGATCTGTTCTTGCTGGTTTGGAAGATATGGTGAATGATGCACCTAAAGCAGCAGAGTTCCTCGGTCGTATTTTTGCCAAAGTCATATTGGAGAAGATCGTTTCCCTTTCTGAAATTGGGCAGTTAATATACGAAGGTGGAGAAGAACAAGGGCAGCTTGTGCAAATAGGTCTTGCGGGTGATGTACTTGGTAGCGTATTGGATATAATCCAATCGGAAAAAGGGGAGTCTGTACTGAACGAGATTCGATCGAGCTCTAATCTGCGACTAGAGGATTTTAGGCCTCCTCCTGGCTCTAAAAAATCACCGAAAATAGACAAGTTCATTTAGAGAGATGGCGGGTGGTTGGTTGGTTGTATCTGGTAGAGAAATATATTCCTTGTTCTGTTAGAGGTCGGTCACGGTTCTTACAGCTGCAGGTTTATATATTTAAATTTTTGGTTAATGGTGGATTTACGTAGATGTTTTCGTATATTATTTTGCCAAGAGATTGATTTCTTTCAATTTATTGAAGGTTCAGTTAGTTATTCGCATCTCAACTATCTCCTCGTATTCTTCTTATACAGAACAAACATGCTACTGGACTCTCTTTTATTCTTATTTACTCACTTTGTGAATGCAATGTTGGTCGATATTGATTTACTTTTTGGCAAGTAAAATCACTTATTTTTATTTTTATATTTTTTATATTTTAATTTCATGCATAACATTATTACTATTATTATTATTATTATATTGGTCCGTCGAAATGCCTTTCTATTTTGAATTTCAAATTAGTGTTTTGCTATTTATATATATATATATATATATTTAAATGCAAAAACTCCCCCTGTATTAATCCTAAAGACCAAAAACTTCCCTGGGATAAAAGAAGTGACAAAAATCCCCCTGTAGTCAATAGTCAAAGCCATACATCTCCCTAATCTTTGTGCGTGTCATTCACTCGCTGTGTGTGCGACTACTTGTTCGATTTTTGTACATTTTGCGCATGAAAAGACAAAATTGCCCCTCTGAATCAAAACACTTAAACTACTCATGAATTTTTAATAATATTTAAATTTAAACAAATAAAATAAAAAATATAAATTATATTTAAACATATTCAAAAAGAAAATAAGAAAATAAAAAAGGCATACAAATATGAATTTTTAATAGTAATTAAATTTAAACAAATAAAACGAAAAAATATAAATTATATTTAAAGATATTCAGAAAGAAAAAAAATGAAAATGTCTCAACCCAATCTACCCCACCCCACCCCACCCATCTCCCCTCCTGCCAAGGCCGTCGGTTCGCCGGAAATCTCAAACAATAACCACGACAATAGCAAATTCGGAATGCATAATTGGAGGTAAACTTCAGTTTTGGGGAAACTGAAGAAATGGTGCCCCGAGAAAATTAAATAAATGTTTTGTTTTGGAGAGAAGAAGGTTTATTGTTGCGGGACGACGTGTAATGGTGTTGAAATTGTGAATCATAACTTTGGATTTTTCTTTTTCTTGGAATAATTTTGTAAGAAATTTTTAGTTGAGAGGGAATTCGTTGTTGTTAGGGGTTGAGGAGCTTGGTTGCCGGAGAGAGGTTTCAGTCCATGAACGGAGCCGGCGAAAAATCAAAGTGTGAGTAATTGTGTATCTCTCTGTTTTTTTTTCATTTAGGGAAGAGGGCTTAATTGAAAATATTAGGGACTGACTTGAAAATTTTAAAAACTTCATTTGGGTCATAAAATTTTTGTGGTTGGACAGATTTATCCGAGGGTTTATTCGTCTTTTCACGAGCAGTCAACGAATAAAAATAAATGGATCGAGTATGCTTGTTTGAACACTTATCCCAGGGGGGTTTTTGTCACTTTTTTTTTTATCCCCGGGGGGTTTTTGGTTTTTAAAATTAACACTGGGAGCATTTGCATTTAACTCTCTCTCTCTCTCTCTCTCTCTCTCTCTCTCTCTCTCTCTCTCTCTCTCTCTCTATATATATATATATATATATATATATATATATATATATATATATTGAACACATAGTTACTCTTGAATCGAAAAATAACAGAAACCAAACAAAAAACCGAAGAAAACTAATATATTTTTCATGTTCGATTTTAGCAGAAATAAACAAAAACCGATGGAAACTAAAATATTTGGTTCATGTTCGATTTTTAGCAGAAAAGTGAGAGCGGATCGAGCACTGCACACGTTCAAAACAACTTCTTCTTAAGAAGCGAAAGCCGCCTATTTGCTGCGAGCCTCGTCCCCTCCTTCTGCACCAACGCGGCCTGCCACCGCCTTTGCAATTTCAACCTCTGCTCTTAGCTTTGCCATTTGAATTCGTAATTCTTCAATGAGTTGCCTCACATTCTTTCGATGTATTTCTTCTTCAACTCCCACGACTCGACTCAGCTCCTCCAATTTGTTCATTTGTATCTTATTAAGAATATCTAACTCCTCCAACAACACACTATACGGCAAAAAAATTATCTTCGAAATGCCGAGACCAACAAACCACCCGACTGCCGAACTCGCAACAAGCCCGGGAAAATCATGTTTTACAGCATACATCTGCATTACAAGAAAGAGGGGAAAAGAATTTAATTTCAAACCCTAAATTCCTCAATTCTACTAAACGAAGAAATCTGCAACTTCATCTAAATAATATAATAAACAGATAACAAATTTCTCAATTATTACAGCATACATCTGCATTCCAAATTAATTTCAAACCCTAAATTCCTCAATTCTACTAAATGAAGAAATCTGCAACTTCATCTAAATAATATAATAAACAGATAACAAATTTCTCAATTATTGCAACAAAAAAAAAACCTGAATTAAAATGAACAATGAAAAAAAATAAAAAAAAAGAACCAGTAACAAAGCAAAACAACAAATAAGAAAAAGAAGAAGCAATTACGAAAGAAGTGACGTCAGCTCCGGCGGTTCGGGAGAACTCTCTGCAACCCGATGGACGGCGATGCCACAGATCCGAGGAGAATGAACCGTTGGATTTGCTCCTTCCATAATTGAATAGCGAAGAAGAACCGTTGGATTTGGAAGATCGAATCAGACCTCGAAAAAAAGCCATTAAATCAAAATTGTATGATGTATTTTTTACAAAGTAAAACCCTAATAGTAATATAGTATGCTTGCCCAGTTTTATAGTTAATTGTGTGAGGAGATATGGCGGTGGGCCCGACCCGACCCGGTTATTTATAGGGGCATGCTATCTGGTTCTTTCATTCACCAAAGGCCACGTGTAAATTTTTAATTCCCTGTCTGTTAAAAGGAGACAAAGAAGAATATCCTTCTCTCATTTATTTTTAGGGCCCCTTACTATGGTCAAATTATGAAAAATACTCTTTATGTTTGGGTAATTACAATCATCCCCTTAACTATGAATCTTCTTACACGTCCGTCCATCGTTGCGGTGACAAATTTAGTCGAATCTTCTAGATTGTGTGGAATATTCTTCAGTTTGTACCCGTTTTGCCCCATTAGAGCTCCACATTTTGAAACAAGATGATCATAAAATGTGTCTATTGACTTATAAATATCAGATTGTAGTGCATTAAAAACTGTGTTTTTGCACAAAAAGAGTAGAAACTGGAGAACATTCCACGGATTTTAGAAGATTCTGTTGAATTGGATATCAAAAGAGTGGACGTGTAAGAAGATTCATAGTTGATGGGTGGTTGTAATTACCAAACTTGAGGGGGGTTTTCGTAATTTAACCTTACCTCAGGGAATTTACCCTTTATTTTTATTTTACTTTTTAGCTATAATATTTTCGTAATTTTTTTTATGTTACCAGCCTTTAATCATTATACACTAAGTTGCTATAGAATATAATAGATATTCATCAATCTAATTGAACTCTTTATTAAAAGACCACATAATAATATATATAGTAGAGTCTGGTGGAAAATTAACATTTGAATGAAAAAAATTCAAATAAAAAACTAATTCCAATTTCGTTCTAACAGTTCCATAAATACAAAAACCGGAATGAAAAATTGCTCTTTTGTCGTAAATTTTGCGGATCAAAATCGGCATGACTAAAAAAAATTCTATTATTTTATTCATTTATAAAATAAGAAACTTAATATTTTTTGAGAAAATGAATTTTTTATAAATAAAAAACTCAAAATCTATTTCAATTGCAATCCTAAAAGAAGTTAAAAAAAATATATAAAAAAAAAATATAAAATCCGGAAAAATAAATTATATCGATGTTTTTGAACGAGTACGAAAACATTTAATAAACTAGGATTGTGATATAGGTCTAAAATATAATCGAAAGTTCAGACATTAAGTTAATCTACTGCAACATAACAGAATCTGCAGTAAAACTGGAGTGAGTTTGTTTCTGCAATCTGATGGCAAAAATCAGATAAATATACCTTAAACAATCTCAAGAAGGGAGACCAAAAGTTTGAATCAAGTCGGTATCTTTCGGCTGGTTAATGATCTTTACGAACATCTCTTTCAATCTTTCTTGACCGACCATCTCCTCAAGAATCCTGTCCTCGATCCCCAAAGACGGGTGCTCTTGTTTATCACTCTCGTTCGAAGACGAGAAAACCAACTCCGACAAACGGTCCTTCTCAGCCTGCCTGCAGTACTTGTCTGCCTCGGTTGTACCCGAAGTCATCAAATGGTACGTATAGACGAACTTCTTCTGCCCGATTCTATAAGCTCGACTAATCGCTTGCCTCTCGACCGAAGGATTCCAAACGACGTCAAGCAAAACCACCCTCGAAGCCCCGACTAAGCTGATACCCTCGGAGCAGCACTTTGTCGAGGCGAGCATGACCTTCGATTCGCTCTTTGGATCGTTGAACACGTTAATCAGAACCTGACGCTGCTTCTGGTCGAGCTTTCCTCGCATCTGAAGAATCTGCTTTCCGTCGCCCCACTTGAAGAATTCTTTCAGCTGGTCGTTTATTAGTTGCAACGGTAGAATGTACTGGCTGAATATCAGTACCTTTTCGTTCATTACGACGCTGAGGCGGACGAGCTCCAGGATGAACTTTGTTTTGACGCCTTCGTTCGGGTTCAGCCTGGATGCCTCCACCGCAGCCATGTCTATGCCGGTCAGTTGCTGCTCTTCCGGCGAATCGGAGTGTTTGAAAAGATACGGATGCACGGATATCAGAGCCACTTTATGCTCGAACTCGAATGTATTTGGCAACCCTTCGAGCCTCTCGATTAAGCTCTTCTGCAGAGGCGGGGGGTTAAGAAAAACGACGCAGTCCATTAATCCCGGTAGACTCTGCTTGAGGATGGTGCCTCTGTGCACATGAACGAAGGGCGACATGTGTAATTTAAGCTTGTCCACGGCGCGGTCAACTACCTCCGGATTCAAAGTGGATTGCTGATGGTAAATCTCCCCCTTGTGCGTTCTTCGTGTCCTCGGCGTAACCATCTCGGAAAAAGTTCTCTCGTGCGCCAGCACATCGGCAACTGCTGGTCTGACGAGACGCAGCGTGTTGAAGAGTTCAGCAAAGTTGTTCTGGAAAGGAGTTCCGGAAAGAATGACCCGTTTTTGAGTCTGGAGTTTAAGGAGAACGTTCCATATGTTACTCCTCTGATTACGAGGAGTATGCCCTTCATCGAGAATGACCAATCCGGGCTTTTCGAGGAGTATTTTTCTCTGAGATTCCAATCTAGATCCGAGAGACACACCATTCCTCTTCTCGCCTAGCTTCTCCTTCTTCAAGTGCTTTTCCCCAGTTAACTTCTCAAACAAGCTATAGCTGATCCCCAAAATGCTTCTCCCCGTATTCCACGAAAATATCTTCACCCAACGAATCGCCTCTTGGTTACCACGTTTGCCCCCCTCGAGCCGCTCCGCAGCTTTCTTGTTCTCGTTGCCCAAAATCTCCGGATTATTGAGGTTAAAGAACGGGAACCGAACGTTCCATTTTCTGAACTCTTCTTCCCACGTGAGGAGCATGCTGGCTGGGGCGATAATCATTGGCCGGCAGTACGGAAACATTCTTAAATAAGATTCGATGAAAACTATCGTCAGACGGGTTTTTCCGGTTCCTGGGGCATGAGAAATGATGCATCCACCGACTTTACCAGGATCACTGCTCTTCAGTTCGTCGAGGTCGGTGCTTCCTGCCAAATTTTTCCACAGAAATTCAAAGCCTTCTTGCTGATGTTCGTACATACTTTCTCGTGCAACAGGATTGAGACTCCAAACAGTACCACTATAACTATTGCTATATTCGGCAAGATTATCAATCGAAAAATCGAAGTCCATTCCATCGAACTTTAAATGATGCTCCCATTCAGAATCTCTTTTCCTTTCCGATTCCCTGTAAATTCTCTCCACCTACATATAAATGTAAAAGGAGAAATTTCAATACAAATAATGTGACGGCATACAAAGTCTTGGAGAAGTAAATTCCACAAGAACCTGCTTCGATATTTTACTAACCACGGTTATATTTAAGAGGGTTTTGCTAATAATTCTACTTACCCAATCGGGCATTACGTCTTTCGGTCCCAGCTCCACGTGATAACAGTACTTGCAGATTAGCCCTTCCTCGTCTTGTAAGATCAACTCGTGCCTCCCTCTAGCGCATCGTGCATGCTGAGTTTCTTCAGACGGAGAAAGTTCGTTCTCTTCATCAATCTGCATGACATGGAATAGTCGTTAATCATGGTACATTTTTCTGGTCTCAAATTAGTTCTCGACTTGTCATTAAACATAGAAACAGTTCAGCCAGAGAGGTGTATATTGACAACAGAGATTTACGGAAGCATTGTTCAGTTTGAGTAGTGCAAATTACAGGGAAGTTAAGGAAACAAAGTTGGATATATATACCTCAGGGCAAAATGATCCTACTTGCTGCAGTGCCAAACAAACGTCAAACTCATCCCACAGGCCTTCCATTTCTCTCTCGTGTTCTGTTGTTTCTCTCTCTTCCGGTACCTCGTCTTCGAATCTGAACCTCGTTGGAAGAGCGACTTGGGTTTTATATTGATGTTCCATCTCAGCTTCTTCGTCATCAAGCATTGGTCCGATCCCCAGTACAGAATGAGCAAGCATTGTGCAGAAATCGTAGTGCCTTGAAGTAACTTGTCTCCCTTCGGTCGGCTTCTTGATTTCTTCAGGCACATCGTCAACTTTCTCCGAGCTGCCGTGCGTCTGGATATTTGAACTGGTTGCATCAATTTTATCCTGAAGAATATCGTCACTCTGAATACGAACGCTGTCGTCTCTCAACTCGGGAGGAGAAACTTCATCCCGTTGCTCCCTTACGTCTGCCTGTGAGGAGTCCTTGGTCTGCACCTCCTCCGCTTCGTCACAATCCATTAATTGCTTCGAGTCTGTGAATTTAGGCATTTCATCTATTTTCTCATTTCTCCTCTCTCCCAAGCCCTCGTCCGCATTCGCATCACCGCCGAAAATTCGGTTTATTACTTCATGGACACTGTGTGCTTTCTCTCCCTTACTTTTTTTACTAGACACACCGGGGCTCAACTTTCTTTTCCTAGAAGAAAATTTACGTCTTCGAAAAACAGGCTGCTCACAGTTTGAAACTTCTTTCTGAATATTGGATAGAAGCCCACTCTCCAAAGCATGCTGCACAGCAAGCCCTTCTTCTTTTCGGCACTCGTCGCTCTTTCTTGCAGCAAGCCCTTCTTCTTTTCGGCACTCGTCGCTCTTTTCTGCAGCAAGCCCTTGTTCTTTTCGGCACTCGTCCCTCTTTTCTGAAACAAGCCCTTCTTCTTTTCGGCACTCATCGCTCTTTTCAGCAGCAAACCCTTCTTCTTTTCGGCACTCGTCGCTCTTTTCCGCAGCAAGCCCTTCTTCTTTTCGGCACACGTCGCTATTTTCTGCAGCAAGCCCTTCTTCTATTCGGCACTCGTCGCTCTTTTCTGCAGCAAGCCCTTCTTCTATTCGGCACTCGTCGCTCTTTTCTGCAGCAAGCCCTTTTTGATTTAGGCAATCTTCACTCTTCTCTGCAGACACATCGGGCAACGTGTCTTTCTGTACATCACATGCCTCAACATGCAGTAGCTCTATCTCGGCAGAGTCAAAAGGACTCTCCGGTTCAGACTCTTCACCACCAGCATTACGATTTCCAGAAGACGAACTCGAGTCAACTTTCAGAGGCTTTTTGGTGATTCCCATCCTTGACCGAGTCCGACTCGCAACACCAATCTGAATCTTGTTTCCTCCACTGAGTGAGTTGGTTTCATCGTCTTGTAGCAAATCAACGGTGTTCTCGCTACTGGAATGACTGCTCGAGTAGGAGTCAGTGTCTTCCGAAGAGTCCTCGTCAAGAAATTCATTGCAATCTTCGTCACTCTCTGTCATTCTTGAAAAGGCAGCAACTTTTATTTTCTTTTTGCCTTTGTCAACTTTTTCAGTCGAGGGTTTCTTTTTCCTCATGCTGTTCGAGGGCCCTATGTTCTTCATGGAGGCCGAACGCAATTTCGCCCTTATGTACTCAGCTTCATCGACCGTCTCAATCATACTTTCCTTGGAACTCGTAAATGCATTTTTGTACCCTAAATAAAGACAAAAACATGCAAATAAATATAGTGTTTACTAAAGTATTACACCAATACAAAGGTTACGTACAAGATTCACACAGTGGGGAGTAGATAATAAAGATCCAAAATTATCACCTTTCTTTGCTAATGGACTTGGCAGCGGATCGGTATCGGTTTCACTATCATCTGGAAAATAGGGTTTGTTTTTGCTAGAAGAGCCAGCAAAACGGCCTCGATTTAACTCTTGCCCCCTCCTCGGGCCCACTTTTGTCACAAAACGAGTTTTCTGATTCTCGAACATGGCTTCATCAATTTCCTCTACGTCGAATTCCTCATGAACCATATCATCACTGTCGCTCTCTGCACATAAATATGAACCAATGAGAAACCTATGCAGGAGTGTTTTTTTTTTCTTTTTTTTTTTTAAATACGAAATTATCATTTAGTTGAAAAATAGAGATTGACCCACAAAATTTGAAGTTTCTTCAGGTCTAACGTACAATTTGTAACGTGAGGATCAAAGATGAATCAAAATTACATTTTTGATAGTTATATACTCTGTTGAGGCTTGTGCTTTAGACATTCAATCAAACATACAGTCGTACGGCACGATTTAATTAATTAAAAAAACATTTCTTTGAAAGACAATCGAACCTCTTGCCTCGCTAATTTGTTGCACAACAACTTTACATTTTTTTGAAATCATTTTAGGATTTTTTGGAGAATTATCTGAAGGTGCAGTATCGCAGCAAGGATAATTTATATTTGATAACGTAATTGATTAAAATTGACATGAAAATTATTTCAAAACTTCAAAGTTCAAAATTTGGCAAAGAGCGAACAAGTTAGACATGGCTTTCATGGGAAAGAAACAATAAAGAAGGGCAATTAAATGATTATACGAAGATGAAGAGTACATTAAAAACATTAATTGTGACATCAATCACAATTTACCTAATTAACCATAACGAAAATCCAATATATTAACTAACTGAAATGGGATACAATAGGTATAAAAAGAAAGTTAAGAAACACGAAACATTCATGCTTTTAAAAGGTATAATATAATATAATATAAATAATATAATATAAATTAAATAATAAATATAAAAAATAAATAAATAATAGGATATGAGTAAGATAGGAAACGAAGGACGAACCTGATTCCTGCAGGCATAATTGATCGAAACAATCGCAAGCGTTCCTAAGATTTTTACCAACCGAATAACCTTCGTTTGATTTTTTCTTGGTCGAGAACCCAATTTTTTGCATGAATTTGTTTTTCTGATTCAAGAACTCGGCTTTATCAATTATCTCAACGTCGTCTTCGTCGAGATACGTAGCTTTCTTGCGATTCCCTGCACAAAGACGTAAGAAATATAAAATCCTTCTATAAGTGGCTGCAAGCTCTGTAGAGCGCCATTAGTTTTGAATGAATTACACGTGGTGTTTTTTCGTTCGTGACTTTGCTGAAACGATATTCAATGCGATATACAGTTGTACGAAAAAAGTAATTACGAAGGGATGAGTGCTAAATTATTACGGATTAACGCATAATAATTATTTCTGGACAAAATTGAAATGAGGAATTTCAAAAGTCTTCATCGTCGATCCAGTTCACCGATTTTCATTGGATTGTATACTTATCTTCAAAATCTTGAAACACCAATTATATTATTGATAACCTTAATCGTATCAAGATTGCAAATGAAGTTGACGAAAAAAATTCAAGATCCAAATTAATATAATAGCCAAAAAAAAAGAATTAAAAAAATTAAAAATCACCACCTTTTTGTAAACTTGAAATTGACTGGTCTCGCCATCCTCGATTAAAATGATGCTCGTCGTGCTCAGGAGAAAAGGATCCATAACACATGCTTTTGCTCACACCAAACACATTCTTACTGGAAGTGGCTGCGAATCGATCGTTTATTACACGCCTGTTTGTGGGTCCTATATTCGACATAGATTGGTTTCTCTTTGCTCTGAACTCAACTCGCCCCAATTTCTCAGTCTCAACAGAATTATTACCTACAGACAACCTTAAAATCTGAGAAAACCATATCTGGAAAAAAAAAATTAATTAAAAATAAATAAAAAAATCTCGAGTTATAACCTCTTTGAAGAAAAAATCCGTGATCGGAGCGATGTCTGAAATCCTTCGAAGAAAAAAATCTGTTAACATAAGGAGAAGCTTTATCCCTCGTGCTGACATCAAAATTCTCCCGCGAAATGGATCCAGAAAAACCTTCATCTAATTTTCGCCTTGTCCTGAGCTCCATCTTTGATGCGATTTTTGTTTTCTTATTTTTGAATCCAGCTGCATTGGATCTCTCGATCTCGATTTCTTCGATATACATATCTCTACTGCTGCTGTTACCTGCAAAGAGACTTGAGAAAATGAGAGACCTACGATTTTAAGTTGTCGCAATCACTAGCGTTTTCTTCCAATTATTCAGCTTCCAGGAAACTTTATAAAAGGGGGAGGAGTTTCGACAATCCAATTATTTTTTATGTTGTAAGATTAAGTATATTTGATGTAGGAAGAAAAGGGGTAAACGATGCAATAAATATGTATTATGAGCATTTGCCTTTTCAAATAAGTGGAACGTCACGTCAGCATCATTTATGGTCTCCATTTAAACGAACGGTAATTTTTTTGAAAAAAAAAAAAACGACAGTGACGAAACTTCTGTTTCCGGTGTGCTTGCTTCGGCTAAAATTAACAATTATTTAAATGCTCATTAATCAAGTAAAATCAGGGTAACCATGTTTACGAGATGAACTGCTAGGATACCATATAAAACCTAAGTGTCTCGTCAAATTCCAAAGGCGATCCTAAAAACATATAGCAAAATGCGAGTCAAAATACGAACAAAATGGTACATCTCTTTTATTTGACCACCATGAACTCTTTCAATTCGGGATTGCAGATTGCATTTCATTTTCATTTTCTCATTCTCGGGAAATTCAAATGCCCTAACTTCTTTTTCCAGAAAGGTGCATTTCCACCAATCGACCATATCCATGAACAAAACATAAAATGCAAAAGCAAAGACGACAAAAAGGATCAAACTTCATAAAATTCATTCAATAAAAAAAAGGAGATTGCAGAACAAAATTCTTTCACATTCAGACAACGAACAGAAACAGAAATCCGCGGTCATGCTTTTAAAAAGATACCTGGAGAAACTCTTCGGACGGGGTTCGGTTGAATTTTCCTCTTCCGGTTTCGTCTTCTACAATCATGAGGGGCCGATACCCCCTCCGATCCAGTCTCGTAATCGCAGCTCGGAGAATTCTGTTCCCTTCGAGGAATCGGAGCAGAAACTCCCCACGAACGATAACTTGCTTTCGTTTCCTCCACAGTCTGAAACCCGGAAGAAATCCTGTGCGCTTCTTCTTCTTCACCACTGGTCTCGTAGTAGGTTCCATCGTAGGTTCCGCCTCTCTTCGATCTTGTTCTATCAGCAACACCAGACAAGAACAGCTTCGTTGCTTCGTCGTAGTTCTTCGATTGCCTATCGCTCTGAATCTCAAGTTTTATTATTCGAAATCACGAGCTCGATATTTGAAAATTTTAAATGGTATAAATACAAGAATGATTTTCTTGCTACAATATTTTCTTAAATCTGTTTGTGTCTAGTGGATAGCTATCACAAAAAATTCAATTCCTCGTACGAAAACGCATACTGCTGCATCTTAATAAGAAATCTCAACAACTAAACTCATATGTTCTGTAAGCAATAAAAATTTGAGGAAACATTAATCAATAAAAGGAGCCTAATAAAGCCCATAAACAATCAATCATCCAAACCAAACACTCTATTGACACTTTATACATAATCAATCCCATTCATCAATAGCCCCCAAAAAAAAACCCTAATTTATTTTGATTTAATAATCAATGCTCCAAAAATTCCAGTCAAAACTGAATATTACATAAAATCAATTCAATCCAGATGCAGTAATCTTAATATATATTAACATAAGTCTCCCAATTAATCTCCGACGAACAATTGCATGATAGACCAAATCAAAATTCCTTCAAATCACATTGCTAAAACCCCCCTAAATGCATCCATCGAACTGAATACACGCGCGCGCGTGCATGTGAGTGTGCGCGTGGGTGCATGTGTGTGTGTGTGTGAAAGTGGTGTGAAAGTAAGAGAAATTACCTGTGTGAATGGAAAATTACAGGGTTCGTGGGAAGGTAAAGGGGTTTATAATAAATAAATAAAACTATATTTTAATTTTTTTTTATTTTTTATTATTATTTTATAGAATAAAAATTCTCAAACAAAAAAAAAGTAATCATGCAAAAAAAATCAATGACACTAA